CAGAGCTCGTGCTCTGCTCTGGATCTCGGGGCCAGCTGTGGTTGGTTCTCAGCGACCCTCCGAACTTAATGTGCTGGGTTTATGCATTTGTTTGCAGGTGCCTAAGCCACAGGCAGTGTGTCAGTGGTGGAGGTGAAGGTGGTAATGGAGAGGGAAGTGCCCAGACCTGCCACTCCCACTCAGCATTTGTGTTTCTATGACCTGGATAAACAGGGGGGGTGACTGGGCTTGTCCATCCAAGGGCCTTGTTCCTGCAGCGATTTGTTTCTCCAAAAACCTCCAAATGTCTAAAGGGCCACGGACCTTTGAGTGGCTCTGGGACTCCTGAAAATGTGCCAGATAAACCCCTGAAGGCCAAGGGTCTGTGCCCCGTGCAGGGGTCCCTCGGGGAGGAGCAGTGGGCAGGGCATTCCTGGGGCTCACTCACTCGGTGGCCCTAGAGTTTCCAGATGGAGGGGACTTGTGAGGAGGGCTGTCCTGTGGGTGAGAGTACTGGGGGCCCCTCTCCTGACACATTTGTGCTCTGGCTGAGGGCAGCCTCTCCTGGTCTGTGTCCTGATGCTTTGTCCCAGACAGGGCACAGGAAGTGACCAACCTCTCCCTTGGGTGGGCTCTCGGGGTCCGCCAGGCATCAGGAAGTCCCCACAGGGCCCTGGGCCCGCAGCCAGGAGGAGTCGTTGTAGGTGTGGAGGAGTCAGGCACTTTCCTGAGGCTGGTTGGCCCCGTGCGTGGGAGAGGTCACAGTCATTCACTCGATCACGCAGAATCTGCAGAATGCCCGTCCCGGGGTAGCCGGGGTCATCTTGGTATCTCGGTCTGGTCCTAAGGCATCTGTTTAAAGAAGGAAAGAGAGAGGGCAGATAAGATCAGCTGGTGACGCTGGCAGGTCCTGGGCCTCTGCAGTGTCCTGGGGGGGTGTGTGTTTTCTTCAGACTGGGAAGACTGGCCGAGACCTGGGTCGCTGAGTGGCCCAGATGGATACTTGGACTAAAGCTAAAATTACTTCAGAGCAGAAAAACTTCCTGCTGCTCTCCGCTCTCTATAAAACCATGTTTACACATGTGTGTGCGCACACACGCACACATATACACACATGGGTGGACTGGGCCCGGAGCCCAGAGAGCAGCAACGAGGGCAGACACCAGACCAGATGCGCGCTGGGGGCGGGAGCAGGAATTGGGCTGCTGCCCACATAGCCCTTCCCCAGGGGGCTGGGGCCAGGGCTCCGGCAGAGTGAGTGTCTGCCTATCGATGGCTGTTGGGGAGCCGAGAAAGCGGCTTGGAAAATTCCCTTATTGGGTATTGGCCACTCTAGCTTTGTGGGATCAGTGCCACGTGTGGGCAGCTGGCTCTGCTGCCTGTCATTGCCGGGGGGGGGGGGTCTGCTTGCACCCCCTATGCCCAGTGAGATGGCCCCCTACCTTCGGTGTGCTCCTCGCTGTGCTGCTGGCTTTTGACTGTGGGAATCCGCATAGCCTCACCGTCTGAGTGGTAGGACCGGGGTCCCCTTCCAATGCCAGGGGAGAAGCCAGACTGAGTTGGCATTGTGAGGGGGTGGCAGGGCTGTTGGGCAGCATCAAAGCTGCTACCCTGAGCGAGCTGCCTCAGGGAGCACATGGGCTGTGTGTTGTGTGAGGTCCTGTGTGTGGAAGGCATGATTCGTAGCTGGTGTGGCCAGACCGTGGGAGAGGAGGCGGCTTAGGGAAGCCTGTAACAGCGTTCCACCAAAGGTCTTCCCTAGACCTCTGCTCTGGGGGCATCCTCCAGCTAGAGGCAGTACCGGGACAGGAGCGTGCTGGTGACTGTACCACCTTCAGGCAGTACCACCTCGGTCCCCCAAAGCCTTGCTCCTCCACTGTCATTGCTGCCCTTCATTTTTTGGTTGTGGTTTCAGTCGAAGCTTCTGTAGAAGTCTTCACTTCCCAGTCCTGCTTTTTCGGGAGTCTGGTGTTTCTACCCGGGCTCTTTGGTCTGCCTCTTAAGTCTCCCGTCTCTTTCCCCCGACAAAACAGCTGACCTCTCCTGAAAACCGTGTCAGTGGCCAGACCAGGCACCCCTCACATTGCCTTCTTAGCAAACGCCATGCCGCAGCGCTGGCCGGCCTCCTGCGTGAGGGGCCTCTGGCCCAGCTGTGGGCTCTGAGCAGGCACTGGGGGCTTGGAGAAGGCCTGGTGGCTGTTCTCCCTGCCTTTTGTAACATCTAAAGTCTGCCCCAGCCAGGCACTAACCAGGACCTGCTGTGAGCTGACGTCAGGACAGAGGGCCCCGCGGGGCCGGCTTTGATGTTTCCCAGGCCCTATCGTGGGGGCGCAGGGGGCTCTGAGTGGCAGTCTGGGAATGCAGCCTCTCTCACCACAGCCACGGGGCAGCCCCAGCCCCAGGAGGGGATGCTGCAGGCCAGGCAGGGTCCCCTCTGAGTCACGCCACGTCTTCTCCCAGCTCAGGTTTCTGTGGCCACTGGCCTGTGGTTCCTGCAACCCCTGGCCCCTTTCCCTGCATCCCACCCATCCCACTTCTCTGCTGTGGTCCCTCCGGGCCGGCCAGGACCTGGGCGTGGTCCTGGGCCTTGTAGGTGGGGAGCTTTCTAAGGTTCTTAAAATGCAAGGCCTTGGGCAGGAAGGGTGATCGTGGTAGTAATGGCGGTAGCTGCCATTTACCAAGTCAGCTCTGTCCGAGGCACCTCTCCACAAGGTCAGACACACGGTGTGAGGGTCAGGATTTGAGCTGCACCTTTCGGGTCCCAAACCTTAACTACCGCTCCTCTGCTCCCCTTGCAGTGAGACTCCGGGCTCCCCACTGTGTCCGAGTAGCTGAGTGGGGAAGTGGGGGTTCACCTGTGCTTGGAGGTGGGTCATCTCTCTTTGGCCTTGGACGAGCACGCTGGAGTTCTGGGTCTGTGATCCCAAGACTTTGGTGCGTCCCACGCGAAGAGGCCCTGGGGGGCCCTTGTGTCATGAGAGGTGGAGGGGAGGGTTCCAGGTGCCGCATTTGCCATCTCTTCCTTTGAGGTTACCTCGGGTCAGCCAGGAGTCAGCTGAGCGCCTTTGTGCGCCTGGCATTTGTCTGCAAGAGGTGTGTCCACTCTCTCCTGGCTGTGTGGAGAGAGAAGATCATTGTGGGATCAGATACTTCCAGGGTTAGTTTTCAGTTCCTGGGCGGGGCTGGGGAAAGTGTGGGGCTATGGTCTTGGTCCTAGCTCTGCCACAACGATCTGTTTGATCTTGGGTAAGTGCCTTCATCTCCCCTGACCTCAGTTTACCCATCTGCACAATAAAGGGATTGTGCCAAGTTGCCCAGTAGGGGGAGGGCCACACTTTCATGCAGTGTTGGGAAGTGTGTGTGTGGGGGTGTTTGGGTTGTCAGAATGAGTGGGGGTGCTTAGCAGTGCCCAGGGGGTGGCGATTGTCCCAGATCGAGAGCCAGCAGTACCCTATTGAGTTATGGGGGTGCTCTGAGCTGTTTCCAATTCTGTATTGTGTGGGCTGGCCCCTCTGAGAATGTTGGGGGAAGGACCAACACCAGCCCCTCACCTGGACCCAGGCCTGTGGGGACTGAAATCGGTTTCCAGTTATTTGGGGGGGAATGGGCAGGGCCCACTAGCCGCCTTATTCTAATTGCCCTATGGGGCCCAGCTTGGCCAGAGGCAGGTAGCCAGAGGCAGGTAGGTACTGTTTCAGGAAGCAGCCCCAGGTGGTCCATTTCCTCTTCCTGGAGGGGCAGCTCGCCCCCTCAGTGCTGTCACCCACCCCAGGCTGGTCTCTCAGGCCCAGCGGCTTTGGGGCTCACGTGGGCCAGGAACAAAGCCCGGTGTGTTCTTCCTGTTGCTGTAACCATGTCACCTGCCCGGCCCTGCTCTCCCTCCCAGGCCCATCTGCTGCTCAGCACAGCGTCTTGCTCTTGCCTTTGTTCTCCCGGCTGAGGCCGCACGTTGGTGGCAGGGCCCCTTCTCGGAGGGGCCCGTGGCCAGCACTGAGCTGTGGCGGTGCAGGAAGGGCATGGATTTCAGTGAAAACCTGGAACCACTCGGTTCTCCTCTCAGCTGAACACGGAAAATCCAGCCATGGTCACACATGGACTCCTAGGGAGAGAGCGGCATGTGGGGTGGCCCTGTGTGTCTGTCTTTGGGAATAGCCGAGTTCCGGAGAGTATTAGCTTCTGTGATGGGCAGGCTCTCCCGGAGAAGCCCCCCGGGACACCGGGCTGCAGAGTCCTGCCGGTGGGATGCAAGGTTCCCTCCCTGACCTGCGGACCCCCAGTCACCCTTGAAAGATGCTCTTTGGGTCATGATTTAGTGTAAGTTTGCTTAGCATCTTGGGTTCTGAAGGCAGTGAGGAGAGTTGCCGGCTCATGTCCCGGGTGTCCCAGCCCAGCATCAATACCTCCTCTGGTCTGGTCCCACGGGTCCAGGCCTCTTCCTCTGGCAGACATCAGCACCCCACCCCACCCTCTTGGGCTTCCTCCCTCCTCTGTGCTCTAGAGCCACTGACTGCCCACACCGCTCATCATGAAATTTCACCGTGGCCTGTGTAATTGCTATGCGCCCCTCTTCAGACTGGCCTCCCGTGAGCACCCAGCACTGTTTTAAAAAAATATATTTTATAGATTTTTTACATCGAGGAAGAGAGAGGGATAGAGAGTTAGAAACATTGACAAGAGAGAATTATCGATCAGCTGCCTCTTGCACACCCCCCACTGAGGATGTGCCTGCAACCAGGTACATGCCCTTGACCAGAATCGAACCCAGGACCTTTCAGTTCGCAGGCCGGTGTTCTATCCACTGAGCCAAACCGGTTGCCGCCCCAGCACCGTTCAAAAGTGCCTCTTGGGACATTTGGCAAGTGTGGCTTCGTGAGCCTTCCCATCTGCACCAATTGGACGTTGGACGCCGCCTGTGTACACAGCCCCTGTCCCTCCCGGGCGTAAGGTGTGAGGGGTGACCTGTGTGAGGACAGTGGCTGCAGCTCCTCTTGACCCTGCCTGTCCCTGGTCCCCCTCTGCAGGTGCCCAGGCCACCATCGTCTTCATCAAGGAGCCGTCCTCCCAGGATGCCCTGCAGGGGCGCCGGGCGCTGCTCCGCTGCGAGGTGGAGGACTCGGGCTCGGTGCACGTGTACTGGCTGCTGGATGGGGCCCCCGTCCAGGACACGGAGCGGCGTTTCGCCCAGGGCAGCAGCCTGAGCTTTGCGGCTGTGGACCGGCTGCAGGATTCGGGAGCCTTCCAGTGCGTGGCTCGGGACAAGACTACTGGAGAGGAGGCCCGCAGTGCCAACGCCTCCTTCAACATCAAATGTGAGCGCTGGGGCCCCGCCAGGCCCTCCACTCCTGAGCCCTGTGGGACCCCTCCTTTCTTTCAGCTTCTCCCATTCCCAGCTGCATAGGGCAGGCGATGACAGTAGTCAGCTCCTGCTGCTACATGGATCAGAGAAGTTAAAAACGCTAATTTTTCCAAGTCCCCCTTACCCCCCTGTGCCCCAGAGTCTCAGACCATGTATTTGGTGGACGCTTTTGCAAGTGGCAGGAGCAGTGAGGCAGAGTGGCCAAGGGTCAGGCTTGACCTGCCAGGGACCAGGAGGCACTTGGTCTCTGGTGGCCCGTCTGCAGCCCCCGCCTCAGCGTCACAGGGCTGCCCTGCACTGCGTTTTGGTTCAAACCCTCCAGGTCCCATCGTTCTCTGCTTGTCCTCCTTCCCTTTGCCCTCCCACGCTTGCTCTGCCTCTCACCGTGCAACCATGGCCTCTGCTGCAGGGATTGAGACGGGCCCTGTGGTCCTGAAGCATCCGGCCTCGGAAGCTGAGATCCAGCCACAGACCCAGGTCACTCTGCGTTGCCACATTGATGGGCACCCTCGGTAAGGAGCCGGCTTTGAGGATGGGGGTGGGGAGGGTTATTCTAGACGGGCAGGGGTGTTCCCCCAAATCTTGGACTCGATTCGATGCATTTCTCTTCGTTCTGGAACAACCTCTGCCCCCATGCTGCTCCACAACCAGCCCCCGGCGACCTGAAGGGCAACATGGTGTGTGGAGTGATCCTGGACCCTGGGAGCTGGGAGCTGGGAGATCTGGAATCTCAACAGGATTGATTCTGCCCCTAAATTGCAGGTTGCCCTTGTGCAAACCGCTTCCCTTCCTAGGCCTGTCTCCCCACTTGTACATTGAGGGGTCTCGCCCTGCCCCTCTGATTCTGTATCCCACCCACTGGGCCCCTGAATATCCCTGCCTCCCTGTTGCTGACCCCCTCGCCCCACAGGCCCACCTACCAGTGGTTCCGAGATGGGAGCCCCCTCTCTGAGGGTCAGAGCAACCACACGGTCAGCAGCAAGGAGCGGAACCTGATCCTCCGGCCGGCCGGCCCCGAGCACAGCGGCGTCTACTCCTGCTGCGCCCACAATGCCTTTGGCCAGGCCTGCAGCAGCCAGAACTTCACCTTGAGCATTGCCGGTGAGCCGGGGGTGGGGATGGATGAGGCATAGGGCCGGGATGGGAGGGGCCTACTCATCACCTGCCTGCTCATGTGCCTGTGCCTCTCCCCCCTCCCAAGATGAGAGCTTTGCCAGGGTGGTGCTGGCGCCCCAGGATGTGGTAGTAGCGAGGAACGAGGAGGCAATGTTCCACTGTCAGTTCTCAGCCGAGCCAGCCCCGAGCCTGCAGTGGGTCTTTGAGGATGACACCCCCATCACTAACCGCAGCCGGTAAGGCATCTGGCAGGGGCCTCCCAGGACGGCGGTGCAGGTGGTACACTGCACAGTGCGTTCTCCAAAAAGGGATGCAGATCGTATCGCAGTAACACAGTGCCTGTGTTACTGCAGAATCCCGGCAGGTGGCAGTGCAGCGTCTTGAGTTATTAAAAGGGTCCAGCAAAGGCAAGGCTCCGGGAAGAGCCTCTTTTTCCAGTTCCCACAAGGGCAGCGTATGAGCTGAGCTGGCAGTGGCTCTGCTTCAGCCCTTGTGGGTCTTCTGCCATCGGGTAGAGACCCACGGATGGAGGAACACAGGGGACCTGGGTGATCACCGTCTGGATAGGATGGCAAAGACACCTTTACACACTCACATGCATACAGGACACACAGGCACACACATGCGTGTGTTATGGAGGAAGCAAACACATCTAGAAGGTGCTGGGAGATCTCAGCTCCTTTATAGGGACTTCTGTCCTCACCCAGGCCCTGGGAAAGCAGAAGGCACCTTGTGGTGCAGGTGTGGCCATGGTTCTTAGGGTGTTGGCCCCTAGGCTAGGGATACCACCCGGCTTCAGCTGTGAGGGCATCATCCGTTCACCTGGTGTGGCTGAGGGGCTTCTGACTGCTGGACTGGGTGCCTTACTAGCAGCTTATCTTTTTAAAAAAATATATATTTTTTTATTGATTTTTACAGAGAAGAAGGGAGAGGGATAGAAAGTTAGAAACATCGCTCAGCTGCCTCCTGCACACCCTCTACTGGGGATGTGCCCACAACCGAGGTATTATATATGCCCTTGACTGGAACGAAACCTGGGACCCTTCAGTCATCAGGCCGGCACTCTATCCACTGAGCCAAACCGGTCATGGCTAGTAGCTTATCTTGACCCTGCAGAAGGAAGGCCCCTCTGTCTCCACAGTTGCACGCTGCCATTACTCGCTCTCATAAACACTGCTGCTCCCATTGCCACTCCAAAAGGCAAGTCTCCTGTAGTTGGAGCACACGCCTGCACATGTACATGAATGGGTGCACACATGCCCGTGTACACACACGCACACACGTGTCGGCTTCCTTCTCTGCCCTATTCCTGGCTGATAAGTTCCTACATCTCCAGCCATCATCTTCCCCTCTAGAAGGCGATCTGTGGGCCACTTCTTCCGATCAGCACTCTCTCCCCCCGCAGCCCCCCACATCTCCGCAGAGCCACGGTGTTTGCCAACGGGTCCCTGCTGCTGACGCAGGTCCGACCGCGCAATGCCGGAGTCTACCGCTGCATAGGCCAGGGCCAGAGGGGCCCGCCCGTCGTCCTGGAGGCCACACTTCACCTGGCAGGTGGGTCTCGGGCTGGGGTGCCGAGGTAGGGACTGCCTTCAAAATGGTTGGCACATTGAGATTGAGGTTCCCATTTCCCTCAGAGGACAGAGGGGGGACAAGGATGCTGGGATAGGAAGAGGAGACGCTGAAGATTGCAAGGAGAGTTTGTGCAGGAAAGGGCCAAAGCTTGCGGTGGGAGAGCACCAAGTACCTTGAGACCCACAGTAACGGGGCTGTTTCCCTCCCGTGCACATCCCTGCAGAGATTGAAGACATACCTCCATTTGAACCCCGGGTGTTCACAGCTGGCAGCGAGGAGCGCGTGGCCTGCCTGCCCCCCCAGGGTCTGCCGGAGCCCATCATGTGGTGGGAGCACGTAGGAGCCCGGCTGCCCACGCACGGCAGAGTCTACCAGAAGGGCCACGAACTGGTGTTTGCCAGCATTGCCGAGAGCGATGCCGGTGTCTACACCTGCCACGCAGCCAACCTGGCTGGTCAGCGGCGACAGGATGTCAACATCACCGTGGCCAGTGAGCACCCATGCCTGGAAGGTGGCCGGGAGGTGGAGGGGAGCCCAGGGCCATGGGGGTCTCGGGCTCTGGCTGTGATGGATAGTTTCTTTGGTGCTCACCCAAGACCCTCTCAGCTCTGGGCCCTGCAGGCTTGGGAATCAGTCAGCTGCTGGAGGTGATATGAGAGCCAGGCATGGAGATTGGGGTGACAGCCCTCACAGAAAACTGGTCCCTTGGCTTCAGAGGAAAGAGCAATGAAACGGAGTCCTAAAGACCCAGATCCCACTTTGTCCCCAATGCACGGAGTAACCAGGCATAGCGAGTCACCCACCTTGCTAGGTCTCAGTCCCCTCATCCATAAAATGGGCTCATAACCCACATACCCTACAAGATGGTCAGAAAGATGAATGAAATAGATTAAAAATAATTCCTTTTGGGAAGGTGATGGTGAACAAACTTATGTGATAATTATTTTATTTGTTGATACGCTTTCTAAATTTCTACAATGAACATACTACTTATAAAGTAAGAGTGAGGAATAACATTAACTATTACACTGAACAGATTGAAAGTGCATATGATAAAAGACCTAGCTACCCTTGCTATAAGCATAGAGATTTATTTTCTTTTTTATTTTTCTTTTTTTAAGTATTTTATTGATTTTTTTTTACAGAGAGAAAGGGAGAGGGATAAAGAGTTAGAAACATTGATGAGAGAGAAACATCAATCAGCTGCCTCTTGCACACCCCCTACTAGGGATGTGCCTGAAACCAAGATACATGCCATTGACCAGAATTGAACCTGGGACCCTTCATTCCGTAGGCTGACGCTCTATCCACTGAGCCAAACTGGTTAGGGCTGCTTTTTTCTTTATGTTATGCCTTTGAGATAGTATAAAAGGATACACAAGACAAACTCTTAATACATACTAGTGCACGTACATATGTTTGCAACCTGCTGCTTCCACTTATCTCTACATCTTTTTAAGTGAGTAAATTTCAAAAATTCAAAAAGATTTTGAATATGGAAAGTACTTTGTTCATTTGAAGTTATCACAACACCGATCCAGTTAAAATACTGACACTTCAGAGTCCCGCTGTCCTGTGCTCAGGTGCCTGGTTCAGGGGGGAAGCTGCCGCACACAAGTACCGCATGCAGCGCACGGCGCTCAGGGCACTTCCTGTGGCATGCGCACACATGCCAGCAGCTGCAGCCAGCTCTTCTCCAGCTGAGTCTGTGGGTCATGTTTTTCTTTGGGGGGGCCTCCCTTTTTTTTTTTTTTTTTTTTTTTTTTAATATATAACATTTTTATAGATTTCAGAGAGGAAGGGCGAAGGGAAGAGAGAAACATTAATGATGAGAGAAAATCACTAATAGGCTGCCTCTGCACACGCCTTACTGGGGATTGAGCCCGCAACCCAGGTGTGTGCCCTTGATCAGAATTGAACCCAGAACCCTTCAGTCTGCAGGCCCATGCTCTATCCACTGAGCCAAACCAATTAGGGTCACTTTAAGAAATGTAGCCCTGGCTGAAACCGGTTTGGCTCAGTGGATAGAGCATCAGCCTGCGGACTGAAAGGTCCTGGGTTCGATTCCGGCCAAGGGCATGTACCTCGGTTGCGGGCGCATCCCCAGTTGGGGATGTGTAGGAGGCAGCTGATAGATGTTTCTCTCTCATCGATGTTTCTAGTTCTCTATTCCTCTCTCTTCCTCTCTGTGAAAAATCAATAAAATATTAATTTTAATATTTTTTCTTAAAAAAGAAAAGAAAAGAAATGTAGCCCTGGACGGTGTGGCTCAGTTGATTGAGCATGTCCCATGCACCAAAAGGTTGCTGGTTTGATTTCTGATCAGGGCACATGATCTCTAGTAGGGAACATGAAGGAGGCAGATGATTGATGTTTCTCTCCCTCTCTCTTTCTCTCTCTGTCAACTCAATAAAACACATTTAAAAATATAAAAATGCAGATTCTGGGGCCCCATCCCAGATCTCCTGACCCGGGCTCTGTGGGGTGGGCCCAGGTGGAGCGTGTTAACAGGTGCTGCAGGGGCGGCCTGTGCATGCTGCAGGTGGGGACTGGCTTTGACCAGGCACGCAACAGGCCTGGCCTGGGTTGTGCCTTGAGTCCTGTGCTGCACTCTGAGGAGGCCTGTGGAGTGAGAAGTGCCTGACACACGCAGGGCTGGGTGAGGTGGAGAGGGGTGGAGGCTGGAGTTGGGAGAAGGGAGAGCTCCGTGACTGCATTCCGTCAACAGATTTATTGAGTGTGCTCATTGTGCTAGGCACTGTTCCCAGTCCTGGGAATGCAGCAATGAGCAAAGCAGACCAAATCCCCTCTCCTGGAGCTCAGCGTCTGATAGAAGCAGCAAAGCAAACAAGAAAAGCAGTTGAATGAACAAAGACGTAACGTCAGGCGGCAGTGGAGCCGTGAAGAAAAATAAAACAGGGTGACAGAGACACGAGGGCCAGGGGGAGCTTAGGGAGCACTTCTCCCAAGGGTGGCGTGTGAGCTGATACTTAAACTAAGGAGGGAGCCCTGTGGAAAGGTCTGAGACAGGAATGGGCTCGAACGTTGGTGGGACAGCAGTAGCTTGAGTGGCTTGAGTTGAATAAGTGGTGGTGTGTGTGGTTGAGGCTGGAAGATGGAGACCAAATCATGGGGGGCCAAGCATGAATATAGGCTTGTGCCGGCCAGTGTGGCTCAGTGGTAGAACATTGATCCATGCATCAGGAGGTGGTGGCTTCAACTCCTGGTCAGGCCATATGCCTGGATTGCAGGCTTGATCCCCAGTAGGGGGCATGCAGGGGGCACCCAATTGATGCTTCTATCTTTCCCTCTCCCTTCCTCTCTCTCTAAAACCAATTTTTTAAAAGTTATTTTAAAAAGAATATAGGCTTGCTGAAACCGATTTGGCTCAGTGGATAGAGCGTCGGCCTGAGGACTGAAAGGTCCCAGGTTTGATTCCAGTCAAGGGCATGTATGTTGGTTGCGGGCACATCCCTGGTAGGGGGTGTGCAGGAGGCAGCTGGTTGATGTTTCTCTCATCGACATTTCTAGTTCTCTATCCCTCTCCCTTCCTCTCTGTGGAAAATCAATAAAAAAAGAAAAAAAGAATATAGGCTTGTATTCCAAGTCTGTCAGTTATCTATTGCTGCCTAACAGATGACTCCATAACCAGCGGCTTGAAACAATAGACATTATTTCACTTATGACTCTCTGGACAGGGTTCAACTGCGACTCGCACCAGCTCCATGTGCTGCTGGCGGGCTCGTTTGCATTTGCAGTCAGCTGATGGGTCAGCTGGCGGCTGGCTCTTCCCGGAGCCTCGCTCACATGTCTGGCAGGTGGTACTGCGCAGGGCATCTCCCTTCTCTTCCCCTCGGCTGCTCCATCAGGCTGGCCCGGGCTTCCTCGCAGGAAGGCTGGGCTCAGAAGTGGCACAGTGCCGCTCCCACTGTTGGACAAGGCAGGCCGCCCAGACTCCAGGAAGGCGGGAGACAGGCAGATGGGGAAGTGGCAGCATTCCGTTACAAAGAGGCGGAAGGGATGGGAAGGCTATTTATAACCATCTTTGTAAAAGTCTCGCACCAAGTCAGGGCGGGATGGCCTTGCGGGGTGTCGAGTTGGGGAGTGACATTTTCAGAAGATCACACTGGCTCTTTTGAGAAGGCTAGAATGCTAGGGACAAGAGTCAAAGCGGGGAGAGCAGTTAGATGACTGTACTTGACTAGGGGACGGATGGAAGGGGCTAGAACAGAGGTGGTGGAGGTGAGGTCATGTTCAGCATGTTGGGGTTAAGGTAGAATGGGCTTGTATGGAACAAGCTTGAGCAGGTGGGAGTCTAGAGAAGCCAAGGCTAGGTTTTTGACGTCTGCCATTGCTGGAGAGGCTGTATTTACTGAGGTGGGGAAACGGGGTGAGCAGGGTTTGGGGGGAATCAGATGTTCTTTGCACATCTCAAGTTTGTCTTTGCGAGTCTGAAGCTCCTGGGGGAGGTCAGGTAGTCAGGGTACACGTTTGAGAATCATCCACTCATCATGGTGTTGAAGCCGTGGACTGGATGAGATCCTTCAGGGAATGAGTATGGCTCCAACAGAACAGAGAACTGAGGCATTCTAGTGTAACAAAAAGCAAGGAAAGCTTTGGAGTCATACAGACAGGAGTTTTCAGTCCTGTCTCCATCATGTTTTAGCAAATCACCAATAGTGCCCTGAACCCCTGTCTTCTTAGCTGTAAATGGGTAAAGAAATACAGAGTGGCCAGATTTATTATGATCTCTGAATGTATAATAATCTGGCCACTCAGTGTATGTCCTATATAATAAAAGGCTAATATGCAGATTGACCCCTCGAGCAGGAGTTCAACCGGCAAGCAGACCAGCCAACCACCCATGTCCCCTCTTCCTGGCCAGGCTGGCCAGACCCCACCCATGCATGAATTCATGTACCAGGCCTCTAATACACACACACACACACACACACACACACACACACACACTGAGTGGCCAGATTATTATGCATTCAGAGATCATAATAACCTGGCCACTCAGTGCACATACGTTGGGCAATTATTGTGATCATTAACCAGGACAATGTTGAGAAAGTGCTGGCATGTGGGCCACCACGAAGGATAACTGCCACAGTTAATAGATGGGGGCACTGAGCTCGGGACCTAATATGGTGTTAGAATTTCTTGGGGTTGGATCCTGTGGTGGTGCAGACATGAGATCAGCCTGCACTGTTTCCTCCCTGCCCCGTAGCTGTGCCCACGTGGCTGAGGAAGCCCGAGGACAGCCAGCTGGAGGAGGGCAAGCCAGGCTACTTGCATTGCCTGACTCAGGCCACACCGAAACCCACAGTCATCTGGTACAGAAACCAGATGCTCATCTCGGAGGTGAGAGCAAGGCTGGCCACAGGGTGGGGTGGAACTCCATCCCTACGCTCCCTGGTGCTCCCCCCACATTGCTGTTCCCCCGAGGTTGTCCTTGGGGCGGCGTGGGCCGGGGTTCAGGCCAGGACTTGGTGTCGCAGGACTCGCGGTTCGAGGTCTCCAAGAACGGGACCCTGCGCATTAACAGCGTGGAGGTGTACGACGGAACGTGGTACCGCTGCGTGAGCAGCACCCCAGCTGGCAGCATCGAGGCCCAAGCCCGGGTGCAAGTGCTGGGTGAGCTGGCGCGTGGGGAGGGCCTGACCGGGTGGGCGGGAGAGCAGAGGGAAGGAGCGGCGGGCTCTGGGACCTCCAGGCCTGCCCCCACCTGGCCAGCTGCCTCAACCCCTCCTTGAAACAGAAAAGCTCAAGTTCACACCACCGCCCCGGCCGCAGCAGTGCATGGAGTTTGACAAGGAGGCCACGGTGCCCTGCTCAGCCACCGGCAGAGAGAAGCCCACCATTAAGTGGGTACGAGCAGGTCAGTATCATGTGAGCCCGGGGATGAGCAGGCAGGACCGTCTCCTGGTCAGATGTGTTCATGTCTGAGGGCGGCTGAGTGCCCAGCAGCCTGTCGGGAACAATGGAGGGCAGACTGTCATCCAGTCGGGAAGAGAAAAGCCAGAGACAGAGAGGTCAGGTTACGCTGTTCGCACACGAGACGTGTCAGGGCAGTGATGGATTGTCCCTTTTCAAAAAACTCATCCTTTTTGACATAAAAGTGACGTGGGGTCCCTTAGAACATTTCGGGAGGGAAAAAAAAGTACATAATCCCACCATCCGTTATCTCTGGGTGTGTGCCCTTTTTTTCTATGCATGTCTTTATGTTTTGTTTTATTCACTTGTTAAACTTGTCATACTTAACTATAAAAACAGGAGGTGCAAATGACTATGTAACCTTGTATTCCTTTCCAACTAACAGTGTGAAGCATCATCCCATTGCTTTATGTGTAAACATTGGCTTTGAGGAGTGTGATAATATTCCAATAATTGGAGTCACTATAGTTTACCTAAATACTCTCTAAATGTTGGAGATTCTAGTTGCTAATCATTCTTCCTCCATCCCTTCCTCTACCTCCCTCTCTGTCTTTCTCTTTCTCTTTTTATTGCTGCAATAAACATCTTTAAGCCAAAGTTTTTTCTGGATTTGGGTTTATTTCCTTTGGGAAAGATTCCCAGAAATGGAATAATTACGTATAAAAGGGTATGCACATTTTTACAACCCTTGATGCAGATTGCCAAATGTTTTATAAAGGGTTGGGCCAGTTTTCACATTCCCACGACCAGTGGGAGCTGGAGAGGAGGTTGTAGGTTTTGAGGAGGAAGGGGGGGTCTCTGTTCAGGTGGTCGGGGTTGTTTTCTGTGGGATGTGTGGCTCCCAGCGGCTCTGAAGCCTGGGGTGCAGCAGAGAGCAGGAATGGGCTCCAGGAGTGAGGAGTGGCATGCAGTAAGGCAACAACAAGGCAAACATGGTGCCCACTCAGAAGTGCAGTTTGGCAGAAGTGGAATGTTAAACAGGCAACAGATGGAGGTGAGACTGAAAGACTGGAAAAGGAGTAAATAATGGGGCTTCCCGATGCCTGGCTCGCGTTTGGGCTTGGTCTGTAGGTACTCGGGAGTGGTGACATGTTTTGAGTGGATACGAGTGACTGAGGGCATTGCCAGCCTGCCACCCAGGTAACTCTGGTCGGTCCCATCATCTCCCTTTGTTGCCCCTGCAGATGGGAGCAGCCTCCCGGAGTGGGTGACAGACAACGCTGGGACGTTGCACTTCTCCAGGGTGACCCGCGACGATGCCGGCAACTACACCTGTATCGCCTCCAACGGGCTACAGGGCCAGATCCGTGCCCACGTCCAACTTACTGTGGCAGGTGCAGCTGTGGCAGGGGCTGGGGCTGGGGCTGGCGGGCCCTGTTGGCAGCAGCCTGCACCCTACCAGCCCCATTGCTCACAGCCCCCCGCCCCTCATGGGCTCTCCCCCTCCAGTTTTCATCACCTTCAAGGTCGAGCCCGAGCACACAACCGTGTACCAGGGCCACACGGCTCTGCTGCGGTGTGAGGCCCAGGGGGACCCCAAGCCACTCATCCAGTGGAAGGGCAAAGACCGCATCCTGGACCCGACCAAGCTGGGACCCAGGTAGGGCCCTGTCCCTCCCGCCCTCACCCCCCCTCTCCTGCAGCCTGGTCTCCCAGGAGCCGGCGAGGTGGACAGCGCTGTGGCTTCTCTCCTGGCAGGATGCACATCTTCCAGAATGGCTCCCTGGTGATCCACGACGTGGCCCCCGAGGACTCGGGGAGCTACACCTGCATTGCGGGCAACAGCTGCAACATCAAGCACACGGAGGCCCCTCTCCTCGTCGTCGGTATGGGCTGGGGACGAGAAGCCGTGGGGCCAGACTTCTTTCTCAGCTTTGCTAACCGGACCCTGTACATGGAGGGCACTTCAGCCATTCTCGTGATGGGGTGGAAGTCTGCTGTGCCATGTCACACTCTGTGTACTTGCCTAGAGCTGGTGTCCCTTTTCTTGATCGGCCACAGCTGGAGAGTGTGTGTGTGTGTGTGTGTGTGTGTGTGTGTGCGTGTGTGCGTGTGTGTGTGTGTGTGTGTGTGTGGTGGGGGTGCTTGTCTTATACTGCTTCCTCTCAGGTCTCCTGCAGGAGCCACATGTCTCTCTGGGTGGGTGGGAGGGGATCAGGTCAGGATGTATCAAGACAAGGTTCCTTTGTCTGTCCTGGAGGGCCAGGGAGGGTGATGCCTCAGGTAAAAGGCCCGGACCAGGCTCAGGTACTCGGGGTTGGGGTCTGGCCACTCCTGCTGCTAACGTCTGTATGCCCTTAGAAGCAGGTGTTGTTTCCTCTTCACGACTTGTTTCTGCATCTGTGAAATGGGAGGCTTAAATGAGACGGTCTCAACTTTTTTTGGTTTAGTAGCAGAATTGTTTTTCTTTTCTTTCTTTTTTTTTTTCTTTTTCTTTTTTTTTTTTACAGAAAGGAAGGGAGAGAGATAGTTAGAAACATCGATGAGAGAGAAACATCGATCAGCTGCCTCCTGCACACCCCCTATTGGGGATGTGCCCATAGCCAAGGTAATGCCCTTGACCAGAATCGAACCTGGGACTCCTCAGTCCACAGGCCGACGTTCTACCCACTGAGCCAAACCGGTTTCGGCCAGAATTGTTTTTCTAGACAAAGTAGGAGGTGGGGCTTAAACTGGACAACAGAGAAGTTGTCTGGAGCCCTTGGGTATGTGTGGGAGCCGGGGGCTTCTGCATCCTGGGTCTCTGTAGTGTCTCCATGAGACCCTAGGCCATTGAAAGCCCCGGGCCCAGAGGGCCTTTCTGCACAGATGTTTCTCCAGGAGCCTGTTCTGTGCTGGGCGCTGTCTGGGATTCTAAACCACAAGTTCTCAGATGCTGCTCTCCAGGGTCAAGTCACTGAAGAAGCTTGTTAAACTGTGGGCTTGTGGTACCCCGACAGGGCTGGTTTTCATTCGTGCCCTGGCCTGGTGTTCAGATGCAGAGCCAGCCAGGGGATCACTGCCTGGGACCTGAGACGGCCCCTGCTAAAGGCGGTGATGGTGGTGACCCTCGCCGGCTTTCTCTGGCTTGACCAGGCCATCCAGTGGGAGGTTGTCATATGTGTGGGGCATGGAGGGGCTGGTAGAGCAGCAGGCTGGGTTTGCTTCAGCACCCCTGCACAGACCTCTCTGTGTCTCACTCAAGACAAGCCCATGCCAGAAGAGTCGGAGGGCCCGGGCAGCCCTCCCCCCTACAAGATGATCCAGACCATCGGGCTGTCGGTGGGCGCCGCAGTGGCCTACATCATTGCCGTGCTGGGCCTCATGTTCTACTGCAAGAAGCGCTGCAAGGCAAAGCGGCTTCAGAAGCAGCCAGAGGGCGAGGAACCCGAGATGGAGTGCCTCAATGGTGAGGGGCCCCCTGGAGGTGGGAGGCGGTGCCGTGTGCAGGTGCTGAGCGCCCTCTGGTGGCCATTGGAGGCTGCAGGACGCAAGGGGCTGGGACTTGCCCTTGTCCCTGCAGCCAGACCAGAGCTTCCCACCCCAGTGGAAGCCTGGAGTTGGCCCCTTCCCAGGGCCTGGGCTTCTGAGGAACCTGGCTTAGGACTTTCTCTTTGGAGTCTCTGTGCCAGCTTCCTGTGCTTCCCTGCCTTCTCCCTGTGGCACTAAGCCAGATCTAACTCGTGTGTATACTCAGATTTAACTCCCGTATATACTCATGTTGCTGGTCCACCTCTTGTCTGTCTCTCCTGCTCCTCCCCCTTCATCCCCCCCATTAGTCTGAGTGCCCCAAAGGGCTGTTTCTCTCTTCCAACTGGGACCTCCCCAGGGGCATTTTTGCATCTCCCCTATAAGCTGAGGTGTTCAGGTGCAGGGCCTGACTCTCCCTTGTGATTTCCCCTTTGCGCCTGTTTCAGGCTTTGCCCATAGATGGCCTCATGGAAGCCAGAACCTGTATGTCTATATGGTGTCCAGGGACCAGGGATTCAGATGAGACCTGCTCAGCTTGTTCCATTTCAGAGGCTGTCCTCCTTGTCTCATCCCCTCCGTTCATCAGCTGAGATCAGACCCATTTGGTGGGAATAGAGGATTAGGGGAGAAAACTGAGGCCCCCATCGCGACCTGAGTGACAGGTCTCACCTTGGCCCTTCCCCGTGCTCCTCCTTCCCAGGTGGGCCTCTGCAGAATGGGCAGCCCTCGGCGGAGATCCAGGAGGAAGTGGCTTTGACCAGCTTGGGCTCTGGCCCCGCAGCCACCAACAAACGCCACAGCACAAGCGACAAGATGCACTTTCCGAGGGCCAGCCTGCAGCCCATCACCACGCTGGGTATGCTGCCTTGGCCACAGCTCCCCTGCTTAGCTGTGGGTCACCGCTCTGTCCGAGGCTAAGTCACAGACGGCTGTGGCTCTGAAACCCAGAACCGGGAGATGGGGGGAGGGTCCCACAGGGGATGTCTGGTCCAGTGTGTCCCCATTGCTTGCTCACACCCCACCTCACAACTTGTGTCATTCCTGTGTGTTTTCTTTAGATTGACTCCTTTAAAAAAAAATTAACTAAAGTTAGCTCTGTTCTAGGGAAATATTTGAGAAATAGGCATTGGTGCCAGTTAAATTTTTCTGAGTATACATTAAACATTTCTTTAAACATTTATCATGCGCCACCTGCCATCCTCACACAAACCACTGTTTGGAACACCCTGAGTATTAATCCCTCCCCTTTATTTTACTGCTGCAGACCTGCAGCTCAGGGGGAGAGGAAAGGTTGGCTCAGGGTCACACGGCTGACCTTGGCATCTGCCCAGTCCGGGTGGGTGGGAACAGCAGAGACTCCCACTGCACGCCGGGGCAGCGTGGCCCCTTCCCAGGCCAGGGGCTTCCCCCCGTGGGGGCGGCAGCCGGCGGACCCGGGTGTGTGCCTGCAGGGAAAAGCGAGTTTGGAGAGGTGTTCCTGGCGAAGGCGCAGGGCGTGGAGGAGGGGGTGGCAGAGACCCTGGTGCTGGTGAAGAGCCTGCAGAGCCGGGACGAGCAGCAGCAGCTGGACTTCCGGAGGGAGTTCGAGATGTTCGGGAAGCTGAACCACGCCAACGTCGTGCGGCTCCTGGGGCTGTGCCGGGAGGCCGAGCCCCACTACATGGTGCTGGAGTACGTGGACCTGGTATGCTCCTGGCAGGGCGGCCTCGGGGCTTGGGCAGGGCAGCGTCCTCATGGCGTTGGGGGCACACCATGGGAGCCTCCCCTCTGGTGGTCTCAGCTGAGACCTCGGGTCTGCCTGCTGTTACACCACTTAGATTCCCTCCCTCCTGCCCTGCCCTTGGCCCCCAGCTATAACACCCGCCTTCCCTTGACCAGCACCCCCTCTGCCAGCCCTGTGTCGGGTACCAGTTTCTCTCGGCTTCACTGCACCCTGCACGGGAACCTTCCAGGTCATCTTCTCTGACTCCGGTTTCCTGTGGTTATTATTATTATTTTTTAATATATTTTATTGATTTTTCGCAGAGAGGAAGGCAGAGAGATAGAGAGTTAGAAACATCGATGAGAGAGAGTCATCGATTAGCTGCCTCTTGCACACCCCCCACTGGGGATATGCCCACAACCAAGGTACATGCCTCCTTGAGTCCGCAAGCCGATGCTCTATCCACTGAGCCAAACCGGTTTCGGCTCTGTGGTTATTTTTCTTTTTTCCTAGGGCTTGTCACCTCTTGGGAATAAACTTAACCCAGCTTTCCTTCCTTCCCAGCATTCCCGTGTGAGGCACCAGTGTCAGCCCAGCCACCAGCCTTCTCTTTCTACCCTGGCTGTCATGCCACATCTGCCCCTCGCTCTTCGTTCCCTGCCTGACCCGGGCCTGACTCCTCAGTCCTCACAGGGCTGCTTATCCTCCCCCCTCCCACCCCCAGCCCTTCCCGCGCCCATCAGGAGTGTCTGAGTGCTCTGCACGTTTCTGCTGTGGGCTCACCCCCTGTTTACATCTGAGATGATGAACCCCTGGAGGCGGGGGGCAGTAGGGTGCTGTTTTTCTCCTTGGCACTTGGAAGGCAGGGGCTTCAACAGCACCTCTCTGAGGCTCCTCTGAGGGTTGATAGAACAGTCCCTCTGACGGACAGCTTCTGGGAGGCACCTGCTATGATTCTTTTTTTTTTTTAAATATATTTTTATTGATTTTACACATAGAGGAATTGAGAGGGATAGAGAGTTAGAAATGTCGATGAGAGAGAAACATCAACCAGCTGCCTCTTGCACACCCCCCACTGGGGATGTGCCCGCAACCAAAGTACATGCCCTTGACTGGAATCGAACCCGGGACCTTTCAGTCCTCAAGCCGACACTATATCTACTGAGCCAAACCGATTTCGGCTGCTATGATTCTTTAGGGCGTTCAGGTCAGGACTTCTCACCGTCTGCCGGGCAGGCCCTGTGAGCGCCTGCTTGCTCTGATGCCTGGGATGGAATGGCCGGGCTCTGACATGACAGACTTTTGCTTTTCCCTCAGGGAGACCTCAAACAGTTCCTGAGGATTTCCAAGAGCAAGGATGAAAAACTGAAGTCGCAGCCACTCAGCACTAAGCAGAAGGTGAGGACAGGGAGGGAGAAGAGAGAGGTCCCAGGGGTGGGCCAGGAGCAAGGGCAGTCCTCACAACAGGTTCTGCTCCGAGTGCTCCCTGTGGGCCGGCCCGATGGTAAGTGCTGTGCACGCGTTTTCTCGGTGGTTACAATAATCACCTTAATGTGCTGCCACCCACGTTTTGTGGTGAAGAAACTGTGGTTTAAGAGGTTAAGGGACTTGTCCAAATCACATAGCCTGTAAGTGGCTTTGTATTGCCCTGTTGTTTTCATATAGAAGAACTGCTCTTTGCCTTTGCCACTGGAGCAAGACATGAGCTCCCTGCAGGGAGCATTTAACTGGAGGAGCAGCTGGGAGCACTGAGCTGGAGCAGCAGGGAGCTCTGAGGTGGAAGAACAGGGAGTAGTGAGGTAGAGGAGCAGCGGGGAGCACTGAGGTGAGCTGTGGGGAGCATTGAGGTCAGGAGCAGCAGGGAGCAGAGAGATGGAGGAGCAGTGGGGAGCACTAAGGTGAGAAGCAGCAGGGAGCAGAGAGGTGGAGGAGCAGTGGGGAGCACTGAGGTCAGGAGCAGCAGGGAACACTGAGGTGAGCAGTGGGGAGCAGTGAAGTGAGGAGCAGCGGGGAGCACCGAGGTGAGGAGCAGTGAGCTGCCTGAGTTTTAGGGCCTACTGGCCTGGGTGTGTCCCTGAGTATGTTTCTTCAGGCTCCGCGTGTGGAAACTTTAGTGAGTGGGCTGGCCATGTTTCACCTCCTGTGGTTTTCTCACTTTCACTCTCCCTTTGGCAGTAGCTGTGCAGCCCTCCTTCCTGTTCTCCTGCTGCCCTCAGGGCAGAGGGCTGTGGGCACAGAGCCCTGGCTGGGCCGTGGTGGAGCAGGCCTGGCTGAAGCAGTGAGGAAGGGCCGCTCGCCTGCTCCCCGCCCACAGCCGGTGATCGCTCCGCAGCCCGGCTCTCCCTGTGCACAGCCTCCTCTCCTCTGAGGTGACCCACCTCCCTCATGTTTCTAAGCTGACAGCAAAGTCACCTCAGGGCAGGTGGACAGACACTGCCTGCCGGGCCCTTCCGGGTGACCACCCCCTGCCTTTCAGGCTGACTCCGGTCCCAGGCTCGGCAGGGCAGAAAGGGGTGCTGGTTGATGAGTCAGGAGTGTGGGACCCTGGCTGCCCCGATCTCTCTGGAAAGTGGTTCTGGGCCCTTCAGGCTGGCCTCCCACTACGGGGGAGTTTACGAGGCCCAGAGAGGGTATGTGACCTGGCCCCAGGTCAGCAAAGCAGGCCTCTTAGCACCTCACCCCTTCCTCCATCTCAGAAGCCATAGGACAGGGCAAGCTGCTCCAGCGGGTGGGACGTTAGGACCCCAGAGCTCACAGAGTAGGACATGCGTGGGGCCATTGGGGATGTAAAATGGAAGCTGCCGGGCATCTCTGGGGCCCTGAGCATCAAGCAGGGAGCTTGGATAAGTGAGGATGCCTGTGCCACACAGACCTCAGGTACCACACAGACAGCAGCGAGAGGCATTCATTAAGAGATAGAGACTCCACTTCCTTCAGGTGGACAGACAGCGGGTGAACAAAGAAGGCTTCCTGGCAGAGAAAGCAGGTGAGCTCAGTTCTCCAGACAGGAAGTAGTTGAATGGCAGGAAGGGGATGGATTCAGGAGAGAGGGGACTCAAGGTGGGTTTCTGTGGCTGGGACATGGGGACAGGACATAGGCTGGCAGGAAGCTGGTTCCCTCTGTCACATGGCCTGAGGGGCGGCATTACACTGAAAGCCTTCACTGAAGATCTCCCACACTTATTGGAAAGAGGCCTCTTAAATCTGACGGCGGAGCGTTCAGTGGGTTCCACACTCTCCAAGGACAGTACTCAGCATCTGGTGGGGTGAGATTGCTTTAAAAAAAAAAAAAAAGCTTTCAGACTGAGGGAATCGGGTCTGAGGAACTGCAATTTTTCAACAACCTTTTCAGCTGGTTTGTAAGCCCATCGAAGTCTGAGGAGTCCTTGCCAGTGGTTTTGAGACCTATGTGGGCCTCAATCAGTAGTTTAAAAAAACACTGCTTAGGAAATATGTATTAAACCTGTAGATACTTCCTTTTGCTAGTAATTTAGTGAGTTGCTCAACTTTATATGCCTAGGGGACCTGGGGAATAGAAGGAGAAAAGAGTGAATGTTTAAAAAAAAAAAAAAAAAAAATATATATATATATATATATATATATATATATATATATGTATGTATTTATTTTTTAAATTTCAGAGAGAAGGGAGAGGAATAGAGAGATAGAAACATCGACGATGAGAGAATCATTGATTGGCTGCCTCCTGCACGCCTCCCATTTGGGATAGAGACTGCAACCAGGGCATTTTCCCTGACAGGAAATCAAACTGTGACCTGGTTCTTAGGTTGACACTCAACCACTGAGCAACACAGGCTGGGCAAGAGTTACGTTTCTAAGGAGAGCTGGAGCCAGGGTGCTACGCGTGGTGTGGGTGGGTTGGGGGGATCCCCAGGAGGATTTGAGGAAGAGAGAAAGATAGAGAGCTAGAAACATCGATGAGAGAGTCATCGATCAATTGCCTCTTGCACACCCCCCACTGGGGATATGCCCGCAACCAAGGTACATGCCCTTGACCGGAATCGAACCCGGGACCCTTCAGTCCGCAGGTTTGATGCTCTATCCACTGAGGCAAACCGGTTTCGGCTTGATGTGTCAAACTTAAAAGAGTGTTAAGGCCGAAACCGGTTTGGCTCAGTGGATAGAGTGTGGACTGAAAGGTCCTCGGTTCATTTCGGTCAAGGGCATGTACATTGGTTGCGGGCGCGTCCCCAATAGGGGGTGTGCAAGAGGCAGCTGATCGATGATTCTTTCTCATTGATGTTTCTAACTCTATCCCTCTCTGTTCCTCTCTGTAAAAAAAAAATAAAATAAAATAAAATAATATATATATATATATATATATATATATATAAATAAATAAATAAATAAATAAATAAATAAATAAAAAGAGTGTTAAGGCCCTGGTTTGGCTCAGTGGATAGAGCGTCTGCAAACTAAAGGATCCCAGGTTCGATTCCAGTCAAGGACACATGCCCGGGTTGGGGACTTGACCCCAAGTACAGGGTATGCAGGAGGCAGCCGATCAGTGATTCTGTCTCATCATTGATGTTTCTCTCCCTTCTATTCTCTGAAATAAATTTTTAAAAAAAAATTTTTTTAAGGGTGTTAAGTTCAAGGAACTCCTACAAACCCTTTATCCAGATTCATTTGTGCATATTTGCTTCCTCATTCTCTTAATATGTATGCGCATTATCTCTTACGTATTGTTGTAACCATTGGAGATAAGTTGGAGGCAGACTTTTGACTTTTTGCCATCAGACGTGTATAAAATGGTATCTCATGGGATGTGGCTTATATTTCCTTGATCACCAACGACATTGGCTTTTGGCCCCATTCTTACCTTCATCTCTCCATGAGTGCATTCATGTGATGGTGACCTCCCCCTGTGGATCCTGAGAATGAGTCTGTATGGCAGAACCACACAGCTGGCTGTAACCCGATAAATAACATTCCCCCGGCCACAGGGATCTCTGTGCACTTATGTTAGCCTTGTTTTCATATGAAAAGAAACACTACAGGCCATGTGGTTGCTCCCAAGGTTTAGATAAGGTGACAAAGGCCTAGGGTCCAGGGATCTTTACCGATGCTTACCTGTGCTCCAATTTTACATCTGTTCGGCCTAGAGCGCCTTCTCCCGGTGGTGGCAGCCTTCTGCAGGGAGACTTTGTCTCCCTTCTAGACTATCCTCTCACTAGGAGCCCTGTCTTGCCTTTTCTGTTGTGTTTCACCAGCACCTAGCTGTGTATGGTGTACAGTAGATACTCTATTAATATTTGTTCAGTCTATTGGTGTATACTTTTAAAATGTTAATATGACAACATAGTTCTATTCAGAATGTTCTGTAAGATGTCTACAGATAGATATAGATATATATAAAAGAAGAAATATGCAAATTAGGCTGGGATGCTGTAATGGGTCACAACCAGACAGGAGGAGGTTGCGTGCACAGGTGAGGCCCGGAACAGAGACAGAGACAGAGATGGGGGGCCGGCAAGTTGCAGACAGGGACAAGGAGCTGGTCTGCAGCCTCCATGCCAAGCACAGGCGACGAGGCAAGCATTCTACTCTGGCCATGGAGGGCCTCTGGGCAGTGGACAGGAAGCAGCTGGGGGTGGGGGGCTATACTTGCATTGTTGCCCTGGCGACAAGGCAAGCGTTCCACACCTGGCTGCGGATGGGCCTCTGGGCAGCAGCACGGAGCAGTTCGAACCCACAGAGAGCTACTAGTGTATGGATTCACGCGCAGAGCATCTAGTATATATGAAAGGCTAAGTGACCGTCTGACCAGCTGGTAGGTGTGGCTCACACTGACCACCAGAGGGCAGACGCTCAACACAGGAGCTGTGGTGACTTGGCAGCGGCAGTTCTCGGGTGATGTACTCGGAACCAGAGAGGAGGGAGCTCGATTCTGGGGTGTGTCATCTGAGAACCACTGTCTCACAATCTGGGACCCCTCGGGGGATGTCGGAGAGCCTGTTTCAGCCCAATCCCCACAGGCCAGGCCAACGGACCCCACCCGCAGAGGGATCCTGCTCACTCCCCCGACGACCTTCTAGCTGTGGTGCCACTCCAGGTGCAGTCAGCCAGAGAGGGGCCGTGGGAAGTTGGCTCCAGGGTGTGTCTGGCCCATGTCTCCTAGTCCTGCCCCGCCGGCCCACCTTCTAATTAATGTCCTTTCAATGTGCATAAATCCATGCACTGGGCACTATATAATACAATCACATGGCTCGAAATTTTAAAAAGGGAATTAGTGAAATATATTTTTAATTCCTACACTTTGAGAAAGAATTTGTCCTTATTTTGTAGAGCTAGAGATACTCATAGTCCTTGACCCACACCTAGATATTTTAAAGAAATTCATGAGTGTGCTCACCCATAAGACGGCCATAGTAGCACTGTTCTTAATAGCACAAAGCTGGAGGAAAAACCCAAATACCCATGGCATTAAAATGATTAAATAAAAAAAAATGATTAAATATGGTATATTCAGGATGAAAACCCAAAGGATGAACCTCACAATGCTGAGTGAACAAATCAGACAAAAAACATACACACTTTGTATGCTTCTAGCCTTACCTGGTTCCAAAATGGGAAAACTGAATTATATTGTTTAGGAACGCGCGTGTGTAAAACCTAAGGGCTCCTCCCTCATGCACTCCCCTCCCCTCCAGAGGTAACCGCTGTCCTGACTTTATGGTAGTAACTTCTTGGCTATTCTTTCTGGTTTTGCCTTTACAGAAAGGTCCCTTTCCCTGTTTTGGGACCAGATAAGGCTGGAAGCATACAAAGAGCACATGCTCTGGGGTGCCTGCATCGTTGGTTCTGTGTTTTTCACTCAGCGATTGTTCCCTGGGTCTGAACTTTATAATTATTTGTGAAAGTGCACATATATTTGAGAGCTTTGCTATGTAACTAGTAGAAAAGACGTAATTTTGAACTAAAAAGGTTAAGGAACAACCCATTATGATGTGAGCTGTGATCACTGCCCGGTTACTTTTCACACATCGTGACTGTGTGCTCTCCCCATCCACGTGCCACTCACCGGTCTAGCATCTGCTGCACGTCCAGGTGCTCCCAGAGCTTCATTTCATTTAATTCTGTTCTTCCAACAGCCCAGTGAGGCAGGCACGGTGACCCTGCCTTTCAGAGAAGGAAACGAAAGCTGTTGTGGGTTTGCTGAGGGCTTCCTAACATCACACCGATGGCATTGAGGCCCCCGAGGGTTGTGTCGGGGGCGGTCACTTTATCCCCTAGACTTGGGTGCTTTCATGAGTGAGCAAGTCCCTTTCTTGCTGCAGGTGGCGCTGTGCACCCAGGTGGCCCTGGGCATGGAGCACCTGTCCAACAACCGCTTTGTGCACAAGGACCTGGCTGCTCGGAACTGCCTGGTCAGCGCCCAGAGACAGGTGAAGGTGTCAGCCCTGGGGCTCAGCAAGGACGTGTACAACAGGTAGGAGGACATGGGTGGGTGGGGGGTAGAGGGAAGATGTGGGAGGGGAGGGGAGGGAGATGGACTGCTTAAATGTCTGCTTAGTCTAAAGCGGAGAGCCCAGAAGGGACAGAGACTTCCCATCCTCTCTCCAAGGGTGCAGCAGGCATCCTAGCCATTGGGACACAGGTCCCTGTCACTCATAGATTTTTCTCTAGTGATAAAATACTATAAACCTTGTAAAAATAACTAGTAGGTTTTATAACAGTTTGCATATAATTTAATGGTTTGTGTGGTTCCCTCAGTAACTTCCTGAATTCACTAATGACTATTGTGAATCCTAAGGCTGGGAGCTCAGCGCTGGGCCAGGGATGCTCTGGGACGCCCCTCCACACTGCAGGGCGCCTGGGGGCACCCCCGGAACTTCCCCTCCAGCCACCCAGGGCCAGTCCCCCAGTTCAACTGTTGCTTTAGTCATGATTGATGTATTACTAAAGCTTTTTAAATGTTCTTTCCATTTAACACGTTCAACTTTTTCCCATTTTTTAAGACCAGTGCCAAAAGTATGTATGATGATTAGCTTTTTATTTTTATATTAAAATGTAGACAAAATCCGGTTCTTAATGGAATTTTTAACCATCAACCCCATGGGGATGCCCCCAAATCTCACTCAGTGTACCCCTGTGTTACCAGTTTCTCGAGTGCCTGGAGGTAGAAAAGTTGGGTTCCAGCTCGGGTACGAGACCCTGACCTGGGATGAGGGACCCGTGTCCCCCACTCCATGAGCCTCGGAGGCCCCGCCCCACCCCACGTGTGGTTTTCTCCTGCAGCGAGTACTACCACTTCCGCCAGGCGTGGGTGCCTCTGCGATGGATGTCCCCCGAGGCCATCCTGGAGGGTGACTTCTCCACCAAGTCTGATGTCTGGGCCTTTGGCGTGCTGATGTGGGAAGTGTTCACCCATGGGGAGATGCCCCATGGCGGGCAGCCGGACGACGAGGTGCTGGCAGGTAGGGACCCTTCCACATGTTCTTCCAGGTGGAGACTTTGCTCAGGACCCTGGGGGCACCCAGCCTGCTTGCCCTGAGGGCTGATCACAGCAGGCACACAGAGAGGGCCACTGCATATTGGTTGGTAAACGCCCTCACCCACAATAACCACTCCAACCACTGACGGCTGCCCGTTGACCCCACTTCAGCCCCCTGCATTGGTTGCCTCAGGTGCTGTGTGGACCCTGCCCCCACCAGCCCGCAGAGCTGGGGTTAGGGGAGTTATCCCCGTTGGTGGCAAGATACTTCCCCTGTACTCCTTGAGTCTGTGTCCACCAGCCACTGGCCATGACCCCTGCCCCAGGTCGCCCTCTGGTGGCTGCTTGTGGGTACTGCCGGCTCCACAGACTGTTGGACAAGAGGTTGCAAGTTGGACTAACTCTCCTCCCACCGTTTTCCTGCAGACTTGCAGGCTGGGAAGACCAAACTCCCACAGCCTGAGGGCTGCCCTTCCAAGCTCTACCGGCTGATGCAGCGCTGCTGGGCCCTCAGCCCCAAGGACAGGCCCTCCTTCAGCGAGATCGCCAACACCCTGGGAGACAGCCCCGCAGACAGCAAGCCGTGAGGAGGCAGCCCGGGCAGGCCGTGCCTCAGGCTGGCATGGGCAGGGGAGAACCTCTTGACAGGTGCCTGCAGCATGATGGGCAAGATCCCTGTCCTCCTCGGCCCTATGGGCTCCACCCTGGCACCACTGGCACTGCTGAGGTTTGGGCGGGGCCTGCGATTTCCTCCTCTTTCTTACCCTCAGCCCTTGGGGAGGTTGACTCGGACCTGGACTGCTGACTAGGGCCTTGGGCTGGGCTGATTTTTCTGCCACCCCTCACCCCATCAGGGACAGTGTGGGTGCCTCAGGTAACACCAATTTCTGGCCTGGGTCTCCGCCCCTTGGCCAGGTGCAGTTCTGCCACTCACCTGCCAACTTTGCCCAGGGAGGGCTAGGCCTCCTAGGAGCCGGGTTCCTGGGTCGTTCTGGCCCATGGGGCCCATCTCGGGGTCTGCACCAGAGCCGCGGAGGACATGGCCAGTGCGTCCTCCCCATGTGGACTTGTGCATGCTGACCCTGACCTGTGTCTCCTCCCCACCTTCCTCTCCTTTCCTCATCCTAAGTGCCTGGCAGATGAAGGAGTTTCAGGAGCTTTTGACATTATATAACCCGCCCTTTTTGTATGCACCACGGGCGGCTTTTGTATGTACCGTTCTCGCAGCGTGGGGTGGGAGGGCTGGGAGGGAGGGGTGCGTCTTGGAGGAGATGGGGACGGGGAGCCACCCCTGCCTCACACTTTTATCGTTGTTGTGTGTGTGTTTTGTTTTTTTACACTCACTGTTCTCAATAAAGAAGCCTTTTTTACAATCTGTTTCTGATGCTCCTTCTCGCCGTTGCCCACGAATCACGTCTTGTCTTCCCTTGCTTATCAGAAGGGGCCGTGTGCTTTTTGGAGGCTAAAGAGGCCTGGATGGGAATAACTGGCAGACGCTGGCCCTTCTCTCTGATTTTTGTGGACTTAGGAGGCAAGACCACCTCTTGTCCATAGGATCCTCCAACTGCCAACCACTTACTCTCTGCTGGCCGGCCTAGCACTCACGTTTAGGCAGGGAGGGCGGAAGAGTGAGGGTGGACAAGTTAGAGTAGATTTGGAGGTGGAATTAATGACAGATAAAAGTCTCTGAATACCTTTAAGACTTTAGGAGGGAGATGGAGTGGACAGTATTGAGCAAAAATGATGCTTATGCCCCAAAACCCCAGAGCCCTCAGCTGATTGGATCCCTGCCTCCTCTTTACATGGACCCCCATGTCATCAGTTATTTTCTTTCTTATTCCAGTAACTTCAGTCTGTGCCTCCTCCTAACGAAACGAACCCTTAACTGTGAAGTCGCTCTGGTTCATTCTGTCCCTCACTATCCTTCTCAGTGATGAGAATAACAGCTAATATTTATTGAATACTTGCTCTGAACCAGGCACTTGGCTAAGCACTTACCATGCATTGTTGCACTTAATCTCTGTGCCTGCTTTGTCAGCCAGATGTTATTGCTCCCATTTCACAGGTTAGAAAGTGCTCAGAGAGGCCAGAGAGTTTTCCCCAGGTCACACAGCTAGTAATTGATCCTCTTGCTTATTGATATACAGTGTGTTACATCCCACAGATGTGTTGGAATGGGAAAAACAACCCAAGAACAATTTCCCTGGAGCATTGTTTTTTGTTGTTTTTGGCAAAACATGAATTCTAATCCATGTTCCTATTTAAAAAAACAACAACTATGTTTTTATTGATTTTAGAGAGAGGGATGGAGAGGGAGAGAAAAACATCGATCCGTTGGCTCCTCCACACCCTGACTAGGAATCGAGCTTTCAAACTATATTTTACAAAATTTTGTTTGTAATATTTGATAGACATTTGTGTATACTGGGTTATGTTATTAGTCAGCTATTGAGTGGTGATCCTGCATAATAACAGTCACAGAAAATTTGAGTCACAACAACAATTCAATTTTCTTTCTTATAGACCTGAAGGTTGGTAAGGTTCAATAGTCTTGGCTGGATATAGCTAAGTTTAGCTGGGCTTGGTTGTAGGCTGTAGGACTGGTTTGGATCTAACTTGCTGGTCCTAGAACATGCTCTCGTGTAGTAGCAACAGCACACGAGATCAAGCCAGATCATGCGAGCACATGCATTTGAAACCATAAGTCTGTTAACATGTTATTGGCCAAAGCATGTCACATGTCAAAACCCAACAGCAGTAATAGATTCTACAAAGTCACATGGCAAAGGATGGGTATATCCAAGTCCAACATAGGTGTGAAAAATTGGGAGCAAAACCTACTTCCCCATTGATGGTAATGTAAAAATGATTTCTTAACACGGGTTTCACTCAGAAGTACTCTGGAAGGTCATTCATCACTAATCCTTTTCTCCAGGTCTTTCTTGACCATTCAGCAATGACTAACATTTTCAGCCACATTTGCCTTTCCAAACTGTCCTCTCTTGATGTGGTGTGGCATGCAATCACCATCTTTTTCTGAGTCGGCCTTCTCCAGCTCTGGCAGACTTCCTTCTTCCTGCCCTGGAGGTCACTGTTTTTCTGGATTCTGTTCCTGGCCTTCCTCTCTCTGTGCTCTCCCCTGCAGGAATCTCACATCACGTGGCTTTAATTGGCCTTTTAGTGTGGACAGTTCTCAAAGCATTAGCTGCAATTCCAGCCTTTTCCTCAAGCTCCAGACACACCTCCCATTTCTTTTCTTTTTAATATTTAGAGAGGAAAGGAGAGAGAATAGAAACTTCAGTAAGAGAGAGAGTCATTGATTGGCTGCCTCCTGCCCGCCCCCTACCAGGGATCGAGCCCAAAACCTGGGCATGTGCTCTTGACCGGAATCAAATCTGGGACCCTTCAGTCAAACAGGGCGACACTCTAGACACTGAACCAAACCAGCGAGGGTTCATCACCATTTTTAAAAAAAAGTCTTTTTTGCTCAGATTATTACAGTTGTTCCTCTTTCCCCCACCCCAATAGCTCCTCCTCTACCCAGTTCCCACCCCACTCTCTGTCCTTACCCCGCCCCCCATCCTCATCTGTAGCTGTACAATTTTTGTCCAGTCTCTTCTCACACCCCCACACCCTTTTCCCCCTGAGGATTGTCAGTCCACTCCCTTTCTATGCCCTAGTTCTATTATATTCACCTGTTTATTCTATTCATCAGATTTTTTATTCACTTGATTTTTAGATTCACTTGTTGATAGATATGTATTTCTTGTTCATAATTTTTATCTTTATCTTTTCTTCCTCTTCTTAAAGAACACCTTTCAGCATTTCATATAATAATGGTTTGGTGGTGATGAACTTTAGCTTTTTCTTATCTGTGAAGCTCTTTATCTGATCTTCCATTCTGAATGATAACTTTGCTGGGTAATCTTGGTTGTAGGTTCTTGCTATTCATCACTTTGAATATTTCTTGCCATTCCTGTCTGGCCTGCATAGTTTCTGTTGAGAAATCAGCTTACAATCATATGGGTACTCCCTTGTAGGTAACTAACTGTTTTTCTCTTGCTGCTTTTAATCTCTCTTTGTCTGTTACTCTTGACATTTTAATTATGATGTGTCTTGGTGTGGTCCTCTTTTAATTCCTTTTGTTTGGGGTTCTGTGCGCTTCCTGGACTTGTAAGTCTATTTTTTAACCAGGTGGGGGAAGTTTTCTGTCACTATTTCTTCAAATAGGTTTTCAGTATCTTGCTTTCTCTTTTCTTCTGGCAACCCCATAATTCTGATGTTGGTATGCTTGAAGTTGTCCCAAAGGCTCCTTATACTATCTTCATATTTTTGCATTCTTTTTTCTTTTTACTTTTCTGGTTTGGTGTTTTTTGCTTCTTTGTATTTCAAATCTTTGGCTTGATTCTTTGGATCCTCTAGTCTGCTGTTGGATCTATGTATATTATTTTTTATTTTAGTCAGTGCATGCTTAATTTCTAGTTGATCCTTTTTCATATATTCGAGGGTCTCACTGAATTTATCGGCCTTTTCTAGAAAATTCTTATAACTGGTTTTGAACTCTATATGCAGTAGTTTGCTTTCCTCCATTTATTTCATTTGTGATCTGTTTTTTTGTCTCCGCATTTTGGCTGCTTCCCTGATTTGATAGAGTGACTTTGGGTACTGTGTGTCCTATAGGGCCCATTGGCTCAGCCTCCCCAGTTACCTGAGGTGGACACTCTTGGTGCATCCCTTTGTGGGCTGTGTGCACAGTCTTATTGTAGTTAAGCCTTGATGTTGTTATCACTGGGAGGAACTGACCTTCAGGCCAATTGGCTGTGAGGATCAGCTGTTTCTACAATGGGAGACTTCTGTGCTGGAGACACCCTTATGAGACAAGACTTGCTTCAGTGGGGTTTTGGTGCTCACTGAGTCTGCCCCCGAGTATGTCCCTTATGGATCTGAGGAGTTGTAATCTGGATGGTCCCACTCTGACCCCTGGGTACACTGGCTCTTGGATTTCCAAGGAGGTGCTAATTTAGCCTCTGCCTGAGACTGTCAAGCAGGAGCTATGGAGAGATCTGTAGATTCTTCTTGTTTGGGTTTTGGAGGTGCCCAGATGAGGCCCAGCTGTGAAGCAATGCAAGATGCTATGGGGTCTTGGGCCTGCCTTTGGGTGCTCTGGGTTTCACTGACCCAGCTGCAGTTTGTTAGGTAAGTTTAGAATTAAAAGGACCAGGCCATTCATATGCAAAAGCCTCTGTGCTCAGCTTGGATGGGACGGAGTCTCAAGGCGGAGCAAACAGGAATGGCTTCCCATCAGCCCTGCCCTAAGAGGCCCCTGTTCTCAGTGTCCCTCAGTAATCGCTGCAAGCACCTTTGAGAGAAAGCTGCCCTGGAATTTTGCCCGCTGCTAGACAGTATAGTTTCTCCTCGTATGAGTCTGGGTCCCCAGAGTCTCGCCCAGAACTGGAGTTCAGAGCAGTTGGGAGCTTTTTTTCTCCCTCCCGATTGAGAAAGCCAGCCGCGTCTTCAGTTGCCAGCCCTCTCCACGCACACACGCCTCCATCCCTCTGCCTTCCGCAGCTCTTGTGAGACTCAGTGTGCTTTTCTCTTCCTTCTAGTTGTAGAATTTCCACTCAGTCAGCCTTCCTGTGGTTCTGGATGATGACCGTTTTGTCTTTTAGTTGTAGTTTTGAAATTGTTGTGCGAGGCAACAGTTCAGATGTTTACCTATGCCGCCATCTTCGTTTCTCCCCTCATTCCTCATTTCTTACATTTTCCTCTGCTTATTTCCCTGGGCCTAAATTGAATTTCTCCCCAAACTGGTCCTATAGCCAAGTTTTCTCTTTCCATTAATGGTACCACTGAAGATTTTATTCAAACTCTCAATCTAACACGAGTCTCTTATGTGTACCCCCTTCCCCGTGCAGCCTGTCACCAAGACCCACTTATTCTACCTTTTCCCTGATTCTATCATTGCTTCATTTTAAGAGGAAAAAAAAAATTGTATAAGAGTAATACTGATCATGGAAGAAGTCAAACGGTACAGACTTGTATAAAGCAAGGGACCCACTCTGCTAATCCCTCTCATCCTCCCCAGTGGTAAACATTAGTATTTGGAGCATGGCTTTCCAGACTTTTCCTAGGCCCACTGACTCATAGCCTCTTTTCCTTTCCGTTCCCTCTAATGCTGCCATTACAATCGAGACCTCTTTTCTTCTGTGTGAGGAATGCACACGTAAAGATTAACCCCAATGAAAAGTTTTAGAGTTGGTAATTTTTTGTGTGACAGTAATTTTTAAAAGTATTTTAATTTTTGTTTTGAATGATAAAAATCAGGAGAAGGAAAGAGAGCAGGGTGGGGATGGTATGGTATGGGGGGATCCAGCTGGAATTCTGATCCCCTTCTGGAGGTGCTTCAAGGTCTGGGATGGATGTAAGCTCCCACCTTCCAGGGGACTGCTGTGATTTTGCCTTATCAGAGAAGTACCAAACAGACCACATTCCAGAGAGGCCAGACGGGGCTTATCTGAGGTCAGTGGGCTGTATGGGCTATAGCGAGCCTGAGAGCAGATGCCTCTTCCATGGCCACCATTCAACACAGCTCTATGCCTGGAGTTGCTAAAAATTCCAGTTTTTGTGTGAGATTGAGATATCCAGATTATTATATAAAATCTGATTTCAAAATACTATATAGCCGAAACCCGTTTGGCTCAGGGAATAGAGCATCGTCCTGTAAACTGAAGGGTCCCAGGTTTGATTCCCGTCAAGAGCATGTACCTTGGTTGCGGGTGCATCCTCGGGAGGGGGTGTGCAGGAGGCAGCTGGTCGATATTTCTCTCTCCTCAATGTTTCTCTCTATCCCTCTCCCTTCCTCTCTGCAAAAAATCAATAAAATATATATTTTTTAAAATAAATAAATAAAAATACTATATAACCCAAACAAAACACATCTATTCAGAAGGACCTCTATGTAGAGTATGTGATTGTTTAAGTTCCATGTTGTACACCTGAAACTAACACAAAGTAATACTGAATGTAAACTGTAATCTACTATATAAAAAGCTAATATGCAAACTGTCCCCTTGGGAGTTCGACCGGGAGTTTGATCATGCGCTATGATGTGCGCTGACCACCACGGGGTGGTGTGGAACATGAAGGGTGACCACTGGTGGCAGCCGCGTCAGGGCACTGATGGAGCGAGGGAAGGTGGAGAGTGGGGGGGAGGGGGGGAAGGACCAAGTAGTGGCAGCGCATGGGTGGTGAAGGAAGGAGGAGATGGGGGGACCTTGCTGTGGCAGTGCAAATGGGTGGCAAGGGAAGGCAGGGAACCTGATGGGCCCTGATGGGCCCTGATGCCAGTCAGGCCTAGGAACCATATCTGTAGTACTTGAATTTCATGCACCAGGCCTCTAGTTTAAAAATAAAGTAAACATCTATGAACCAGTTTTTGTGTGTGTTTTTAATCCTCACCCAAGGATATTTTTTCATTGATTTTTAGGAGGAGTGGAAGAGAGAGAGAAAGACAGAAACATCGATATGAGAGAAACACATAGATTGGTTGCCTCCCACATGAGCACTGACAAGAGCCTGGGCTGAGGAGGAGCCTGCAGCCTGAGCATGTGCCCTTGACCGGTATTAAACTGGGACCTTTGGCCTGGTCTGCAGGCTGAAGCTCTATCCTCTGAGCCAAACCGGCTAGGGCTGAACCGGTTTTTTTTATTGACTTGATCTGCATGAACAGTTTTAGCTTCTGAACCTGCAGTAAGCCAACATAGTTTGGGATTGGGGTGGGGTGGGGGCGGTGAAGATGAAGCCATCCCGAGGAGTTGTACTAACACTGGTGTGCAATAGCCCAGGGGTTGGGTGAAATTGGAGAGAGGGCAGCCTATTTGAAGGGAAGCTGAGAATTGTTCGCTGCCCGTCTTCTGGGGTGCCACTGCTGTGTCTGAACGAGGGGTCTCACACAGAAAAGTCCTGAGAAGTCAGGCAGGAATGGACCACAGGGCTGTGATTATAGAACTGTTGCTCAAATCGCAGTCCCAAGCACCGTCTGTGGCCCCGAAGCCCTTCTGTAACCTATTTATCTATTTGACCTATTCTTCCTCTTGAATTAACACATTCCATATGCTTAACTGCTTGTGGTGTAGACTAAATTAGGAAAAGAAAAAGAGCTCTTTAAAACTACTGGGAAAAGGGAAACAGGAGGGCTCTTAATTCCTTTATTTAGAGGTTTGATGAATGAGTCCATGTTTTTAATACACACACACACACACACACAGAGCTCACGAAAACACTTGAACATACTTTATTTCAATATTCAGACTGGGACACAGCTATGCAGTTGACGTCATCCAGTACACACATGTTGAGCCATATGAATGACACTATCCCACCTTCTTGACCTATAAAAGAAATTTTATATGGTTCAACCCTAAAATAATGGGATCAAGAGTTTTATGCAACAATATTTTACCCTTGCTTCTTGTGATACTCATTTATTTTATTATTTCATTTTTAAAATATTTTATTGATTTTTTTTATAGAAAGGAAGGGAGATAGTTAGAAACATCGATGAGAGAGAAACATAGACCATCTGCCTCTTGCACACCTCCTACTGGGGATGTGCTCGCAACCAAGGTACATGCCCTTGACCGGAATCAAACCTGGGACCTTTCATTTATTTTAAATGTTGGTTGCAGTACACTAAATTGATTTAATTCACTACCTGTTAATCTTCACCCTCTCCCACCCTGTTACACACAGGATGTCCATCTCAGGGATTCCCTGATTGTCCTAGGTAGCTCCTATTAATGACCAGTTCCTTTGTGCTTTAGTCTTTATCTCATTTAATCAGCATTAAGAACCTCATGGGATCGGTACCAACAATGAGGAATATGAAGTTTGGAGAGGCCAGCCACTTGTTTCTGGCACATGCCTACGAAGAGAAAGATTCCAGATTTGAATAATTTATGTAACAGCAAAGCCCAAGCTGTTTTCACGGCTTTGGAGCGAAGGCCCAGAACGAGACCCTGAACCTGGCCTTTGCAGCACCCCAGCTCTAACTTTTCTTCTTCTCCTATGGGCTTTGCAGAGGAGGGCGTGTGTGTGTGTGTGTGTGTGTGTGTGTGTGTGTGTGTTTGTGTGTGCGCGCGCTTGCGCTTGCGCTTGCTGGCTTGCTTCAACTTTCTGCTCAGCTTTTCCCAGGCCTCTGCACTGGCTGAGGGGTGGGCTTTACCACCTCCTCCCCATCCCATCCCGCAGCTGGAAGTCTTCACTGATCTCCATCTCTCCTCCCTGCCCCCATCGGGGAGGCAGACTATCTCCCCGGTCTTTTCCAGATGTACGTCCGCCAAAGACCTCCCCCAGTATAGACGATGATGAATGAAGACTGGAGAGCCGGCCTGGTGGGAAAGTGTGGCCGCCTTGAAAAAGAGAAAGAGAAAGGAAGTCGGGCGTGGGGGGCGGGGTGAGGAGGGTAAGCATTGGAACGGCGTGGCCAGAGGGCGACCAGTCTAGACACGAGGGACCCAAGCCTCCATTACTCGGCCAGTTCCTTTGCCTCCCGCAGAAAGGCGTGGGCAAATGCTCCAACCCCTGCACTCGGGTGGAATTTGGGCTCTAAGATCATTTACTGCAGCCCGCACAGTGCACTCAGGAACTACCCCAGTGCTTGTTTCCAGCCCTCCCAGCGCCGGGTTCCTTCCCAGCGTGCTCCCTCTCCTCCGCAAGACTGCGCGCCCGTCCGCTCCTGGGCTTCCTCTCCGCGGGCCCCGCCCCGTTCTCTCTACCACTCTCCGGCCGCGGGGGTGGAGTCGCGCCGCCTCCCCCTTTCCTTTAAGAGATGTCGGCCCCGCCCCTCTCGGAGCCGCGGTCTGACGCCCGAGGACTGCAGCGAGTTCGGGATGTTTATGCAAATAGGCGCCCCCTGTGGGCCAATGGGGAGCGGAGGTGCCGGAACGGTGGACCAATGGGGCGGGGGCTTAGGGGCTCACCATATAAGGAGCGGCCTCGCCATAAAAGGAAACATTGTATCTCTTTATATGGGGGGGAAGGGTCGGGGGATCCCTCGCCGCCTGCGCGTGGTCCCGGCCCCCTCCGCCCGCTGTCCCCGCGGCGGCCAGCAGCCTGTGCCCCCGGGGGGACGCTGACGGCCGCCGGGCGCGCCGCCGCGGCATACGGATAGGGGGCGCTCCGCGCGGCCTGGGGCAACCCGGGCCACAGGGGCAGGAAAGTGAGGGCCCAGGTCGGCCGGGGCGTGCAGGGGCCCCGGGCTCGCAGCGGCGGCGGCGGCGATAGCGGCACCAGCAACAGCGGGAGCGCCGGGCTGAGCCGGGAAGCCGATGGCGGCGGCGGCGGCGGCTCCAGTTCCTCGCTGACTGCCTGTCCGTCCTCCTGCACCGAGCGCCATGTTACCGACCCAAGCTGGGGCCGCGGCGGCGCTGGGCCGGGGCTCGGCCCTGGGGGGCAGCCTGAACCGGACTCCGACGGGGCGGCCGGGCGGCGGTGGCGGAGCTCGCGGGGCTAACGGGGGCCGGGTCCCCGGGAACGGCGCGGGGCTCGGGCCGGGCCGCCTGGAGCGGGAGGCTGCAGCGGCGGCGGCACCCACCCCGGCACCCGCCGCGGGGGCCCTCTACAGCGGCAGCGAGGGCGACTCGGAGTCGGGCGAGGAGGAGGAGCTGGGCGCCGAGCGGCGCGGCCTGAAGCGGAGCCTCAGCGAGATGGAGCTCGGCATGGTGGTCGGCGGGCCCGAGGCGGCGGCGGCGGCCGCGGGGGGCTACGGGCCGGTGAGCGGGGCCAAGCCGGGCAAGAAGACGCGGGGCCGCGTGAAGATCAAGATGGAGTTCATCGACAACAAGCTGCGGCGCTACACGACCTTCAGCAAGAGGAAGACGGGCATCATGAAGAAGGTACGGGACCGGGAGCCTGGCCGGCCGCGGGGAGCCCGCGCAGGGCACGGGGAGCCCGGGAGGCAGGCAGGCAGGCAGGCAGAGCCGGGCGGAGGTGAGAGGCGGCAGCCCGCGGGAGGTGGTGGGAGGGGATGGCTCTTACCCCGGGACAGCACGAGGGGAGGGGCCGCCGGGGAAATGTGGGGAGAGGGGAGCCGCTGCGAAGGTCCGGGGAAGAGGGGAGAGGCGCCGAGGTGGGAGTGACGGGCGCGGAGAGGAGCTGGGCCCCTGCCGAGCGAAGGGGCGAGCAGTGGCATTGGGAGGCTGCTGGGAGCTGTTTTAAGGAAATCCAGGGATCAGTAGTAGGTCCATGGCGCTGGTGTTTGGGAAGGGCTCCCCAAAACCGGGGAGCAGAAGAGAAGGTGTGCAGGTGAGAAGGCTGGAAGCAGGATAACAATGAGGGAGCCTGCCTAGGTGGGAGGAAGGTGGGCACCGCCGATGTGGTATTACCTGGAAGGACAGGCAAGGCTGGTGACGGAATGGGGCTCCAGAGCTGCAGGTGAGGGAGCAAGGCAGGAGAACGGAGGCCGCCCTGAGCCGCAGGGACCAAGCCGAGTCCCGCAATGGCCATGTGTCCTAAGTGCATCCCCTGGCAGCCTGCACACTCCCCGCAAGACAGGCTCCAGGATCATACGTCTTCCAGAACAGTGGGATTTGCAGCCCTAGGGAGAATCTGTGCATGGAGTTTGGTGGGGAGGCAAGGAGGTTTGCAGAGGTACCCAGAAAATCCTTTTCTGTCAGATTATCCAGTGAGAAGGGGTGAGGAAAGGCGTTGCCTTGGGGTGTAGAAGATATGGGACAGGATGGAAGCAGAACTGGGAAACGAGAAGCTAGAATTCTGGAAAAATTGGCTGGGGTGTCTGTCCCATATAAAAGTCAGAGCTGCTTCCAAGGTGGGCTTGTAGAAGCTTGTTGGCTGTGAGGACACCATCCACAGGGCCCTCCTTGATGGACCCCTTTCTGAACTGATGGCAGGATTGTAGCGGTTAACCTAGCCCCCATCTCCTATCAGTCCAGACACTGTTGTGTCAAGACAAAGGAAGAAAAAAGAGTAGCCCAGTATTATAGGGCAGAAGACAAATGGCAACAGGTTAGTGCCTGTGCAGTTTCTGGGAAGAAACATGGGACGTTTTAGGGTTTAGGTGGCTCCTAAACATCAACCGTCGTGTCTTATGTGGGTCTGGACAGTAGTGACTTCTGGTACAGCAGCGAGTTCGTCCTTGTCCTTGTGGCAGTGAGGAGGGGATGGGAGCCATCTCTCCGTGAGGCTGGGCATCACGTTGTAGTGAGGCCCCTCTGTGTCACTGAGGTTATATGTTCTGTCAGGAGGGGGTTGTCTTGTTTGCAGTCAGCAGGGCTTCTCCTCAGAGAAGAGGCAAGGCATTTTTCTGCTTCCGGTTCACCTTCAGATGTCCTGGTAGGACCACCTCTAGACAGGAAGGTCTTTATGGGAGTGGGGGCTTGATGTCGCTGTGTGCTACCTCCCTCTGCTCCTTCCCAAGGCAGGTAGAGATGAGTTTTGCTGACCTCCCCATCTCCTCCCCATTTTCCCCAGGCCTATGAGCTGTCCACGCTGACAGGGACACAGGTGCTGCTGCTGGTGGCCAGCGAGACAGGCCATGTATATACCTTTGCCACTCGAAAACTGCAGCCCATGATCACCAGTGAGACTGGCAAGGCGCTGATCCAGACCTGCCTCAACTCGCCAGACTCCCCGCCCCGCTCAGACCCCACCACGGACCAGAGAATGAGTGCCACCGGCTTTCAGGAGACAGACCTCACCTACCAGGTGTCTGAGTCCGACAGCAGTGGGGAGACCAAGGTGTGTTTGGGTCCCCGATCTGAGGGAAAGGAAGGGGAGGGACTTGACCTGCAGAGAGGGGCGGGGGTCCCTCTCACTTCCTCACCAAGCACAGGTGGCAGGTGCCCACTGGTGTGGAGTGGAGCCGGGCTAGTGCCCCTCATCCTAGGGGGCAGGTGTCCATCCCCGCTATCCGGACAGGAGGCCGGCCCACTAGATAAGCGGGCGGCCTCCGTGCCCATATAAGGCGGGCTCCGGCTCCACGCCGGCCTCCTGCCGAAGCCCGCCTGCCTGGCAGGGCCCTCGCATTCCTCCCGCCAGCTGTCTCCCTCCCGCTAGGGGTGGGGGCGTAGCTTAGCCCAGCCCTCCGGCCGGCGGGTCACGGCAGAGTAGGAAGTGAGCGCTCCCGGGTTCAGGGTCCTGGGAACCCAGCACTGCTGCAGGTGGGCTGGCTGGCCGGGCTGAAGGCCACCTGACCAGCCAGTCACCTACCTCCTCAGGATGTCCGGACCTGGGCACCATAGGGAGTGTATTCCCGGCTGCTAGGGATGCCGGCCCTAGTTACGCCTCCCCCTTCCTTTTCCCGGTAAGGAGAGGGGGCGGAGCTTCCTCCCTAGTTCCTCTGGGGTACTCCACCTTCCGGGTCCTTCTCCAACTGGCCAATCGGAGGAAGCGGCACTGTTTGCCTTAGCAACGCCTGCACCAATCAGGGGCTTTGAGCGCGTCTGATTAGCAAACATCCCGCTCTGACCAATCCCCAGTATTTGAGCCCCTCAGACCTCTGGGCTTGGCTCTCAGCCCCTGGTTTCCTCCTTCCCCTTCTAAAAACAAAGGCTCCCCGAGGGGAAACTCAGTGCTTTAGACTTTCCCCTCATGTGGTGGCATCTGAAATAATTTTTAGACTCTTGACGATGAGGCTTATTCCCAGAAAATTTTGCTGGATGAATAAATTCTTTGGGTAATTAAAATCTCAAGTATTTGTCATAAAGTGCCAGCCCCCTAAGATCTCTCTCAAACCATAAGTTCCCTGAAAACCTCTTGGTTCCTATCTCAGAAGCCTGGCAAATATGAGCTGGAAGGACCCTTTTAAAGAGGGCACAGTAGCCCAGTCCTCTCATATTTACAGGAGAAGAAAACTGAAGCTCAGAAAGAGTGAGTAATTTCCCAGGGTCACACAAATGGTCATTGCCAAAGCTGGGAACAGACCCCCGGTGTCCTGATCCTCCAGCCAACGTGACGGCCACAGTCCATTGGGGCAGAACTCAGGGAATTATAATAATCATATTTATCATTATGATAAACAAGAGCAGCAAATACTGCTCTTTTTATGTGCCAGGCATTGTTCTAACTTCTTTAAGAATGTTAACCTATTTATTCTTCACAACACCTATGGGGTAGGTATTATCTTCCTTTAGTAGACAGGAAACTGGAGCATAGCAGTTCAATAACTTGCCTGTGGACCAGGCAGCAGATAAATGACAGAGCTGTGATTTGAACCCAAGCACCCTGGTTCCACTCTGGGCTGTCAATCTACATTAAGCTTCTGCAGGGTCAGGGTCTGGCAGAGGCTCACTGCTCCATCTCTACTCTGGATGTAGGACTCACTGAAACCAGTGTTCACAGTCACCAACCTGCCGGGTACCACCTCCACCATCCAAACAGCACCTAGCACCTCTACCACCATGCAAGTCAGCAGCGGCCCTTCCTTCCCCATCACCAACTACCTGGCACCAGTGTCTGCTAGTGTCAGCCCCAGTGCTGTCAGCAGTGCCAACGGGACTGTGCTGAAGAGTACAGGCAGTGGCCCTGTCTCCTCTGGGGGCCTCATGCAGCTGCCTACCAGCTTCACCCTCATGCCTGGTGAGTCACAAGGGGCAAATTGAGCATGGGAAGAGTGGGTTTAGGGTTGGCACAAGGAGAATCTCTTCCCCTGCTCAGAAGGAGGGTGAAGGGGCGGGGGCCAGGGCCTGAGAGAAGCCTATTCTGTCCTGTTGGCAAGCATGTTCCTCCCCATGGGAACCTCTGTTATCCTTGTCAGTAAGTTCCAGCCATATGCTCTGGCCTTGTTTAGCCAGCCCTGCCCTGGGTCCCTTATTGCCACAGGGACAGTAGGCATTCTGTCACTTCCCTACCTTGACTAGAGGGCAGATCCTGTCCCTGATGGGTCAATACCAACTGCCTGAAAAGGAAAGAGGCACGGCATAGGACGGGAGAAGGAGGGAAGAGAAAAGCAGAGTATGGAAGCCCCTGGAGACCCAGATTCAGGACAGGAAGGGCTTTTTGACTCCCACAAAAGATAGTGATGGGAATTGGGGAGCAGTGTGTCAGACCCTGGGCGTGTGGGGGTGTGAGGGTGCTTGTGCGGGTGGTGGCTGGATAGGACAGAGCACAAGTAAGTCTCTGTGTCTCGCAGGTGGGGCAGTGGCCCAGCAAGTTCCAGTGCAGGCCATTCAGGTGCACCAGGCCCCACAACAAGCGTCTCCCTCTCGCGACAGCAGCACAGACCTCACGCAGACCTCCTCCAGCGGGACAGGTATAGCTCTGTCACTTCTTAATGTGGAGACTGAGGCTTTTGGCTTAACCCTTATCCTAATCCTTAAGAGAAAGTCAGGTGGGGGTGGCCGGGTTTTGTATCCTGCCCTGCAATAGGGCTGTGGATTCAAAGAAGAAATTAGGGGCCACTGAAGCCACCCTCCTCCTTATTCAGAGGAGAAGCCTGAGGCTCAGGAGAAGTTACTTGCCCAACGATTCACATTTGCTTAATGACCAGGAAGGATTTATAGAGCAGATACCTCCTTGTGGGAGGGTGTCCTAGGTTTAGAGTAGCCATAATTCTCCTCAGGGCCTCTAGTCATTCCAGGTATGATGAAACACTTTCAGAATAAAGTTACTTCTAAGTTCTTGTTATTTACAACCTTGTTATACAAAGTGTGATCTATGGAGGACCAGCATCACCCTGGAGCTTGAGAGGAATGCAGACTTTTATGCCTCACCCCAAGCCCACCTAATCAGAATGTACATTTTTAACCAGAACCCCAGGTGACTGTATGCACGTTAACATTTGAGAAGGGCTAGTTTAAAAGATGCATTTGTTAGCCACACATTTAGGAAGAAGGAGGAGGAATGAAAACAAAAAAAATACTGAAGCTTCCTAAAGGGGGGGTAGTATCTGAGTTTCCTCAGGTTGGGTCAGTTACTGTAATCTTTGTTTTTCCCAGGGCCTTAGGGTCTTGGGACAGAGAATTCAGCAAATAGACAATTGGACAGCACAATGTGGTAGGATCTAACTAAAGGCTGGTGCTGTTGTGTTCAAGAAAAAAAAATAAGGCTTTTCTTAGTTGATGACAGGGAGCAGAGGAATGAGTCTTGTCTGACTGCTGACCTGGGAAACAGCTAGAGAGCTCCGGCAGCTTGGAATTCCTAGGGGTGGGATGGGAGTTATCAGTGGGGACCAGGGTCAGCCTCACTGACAAGTGTCTGTATTTGCCAGTGACCTTGCCCGCTACCATCATGACGTCATCTGTACCCACAACTGTGGGCGGCCACATGATGTACCCTAGCCCCCATGCGGTGATGTATGCACCCACCTCGGGCCTGGCGGATGGCAGCCTCACCGTGCTCAATGCCTTTTCCCAGGCTCCATCCACCATGCAGGTGTCCCACAGCCAGGTCCAGGAGCAAGGTGAGTTGGGGGTAGGGCAAAGTAAAGGAGGACCATTGTCTCCCTTATGCAGACACACACAGACACATACACATACACACACACACATACACACACACACACACACACACACACACAGACACGCACGCGCGCTAGCGCTTTCTCCCCCACCCCTGATATGTATATCCACACAAACTAGGATGCTCATATATGCTTCTGCACATATACATACAGATACACTCTGGCACCCATGCCTGTCTACTTACTCATGCACACTCGAACACTCACACTCACACCCACACTTGGACACAATTGGGCACTCACCCTAGGGCATTTACATCTGAGACTCACCCAGTCATTTGTGCATTTACCAGCTCCAATAACTGGAAGTTTCTCTTGAGCAAGCAGTTTGAGTATCTCCCACTTTCCACGCAGGCGGCGTCCCCCAGGTGTTCCTGACGGCACCATCTGGGACAGTGCAGATCCCCGTTTCTGCAGTTCAACTTCACCAGGTGGGTGGGAACCCTCTCACCCCATCCCAGCCAGCCAGCTACCTTGTTTGTTTGTGCTTGTTATTATTAATCCTCACCTGAGGATATTTTTTTTCCATTGATTTTATTTTTTAGTTTTTTCCAGGTCCTCTTTTTTTTAATTTTAATTTTAAATATATTGTTATTGATTTCAGGGAGGAAGGGAGAGGAAGAGAGAGAAACATCAAAGATGGGAATCATGGGTCAGCTGCCTCCTGCATGCCCCCTACTGGGGATTAAACCCACAACCCAGGCATGTGCCCTTGATCCGAATCGAACCCAAGACCCTTCAGTACACTGAGCCCAACTGGCTAGGGCTTTCCATTGATTTTTTTTTTTTTCATTTGTTTTTTCTTTTTTTTCCCATTGATTTTTAGAGAGAGTGGAAGGGAGGGGGAGAGACAGAGAAACATGAGTTGGTTGCTTCCCGCATGTGCCCTGACCAGGGCTAGTGATCAAGCCTGCAACTGAGGTACATGTCCTTGCTTAGAATTGAACCCATGACCCTTTAGCCCTTGGGCCAATGCTCTAACCACTGAGCAACTGGGTATGGCTAGCCAGCTACTTCTTTATCTTGGGGATTCCATTACTAGTTAGTCAAAGCTAAGATTCCTAGCAAGAAGGGCTGTTTTCCTGGTCAGACCTTGGTGGGCAGGCAGGCAAGCAGGAGGTCTGAGCTGGCTGACCTGTTCCTGCCCCATTTCCTCACACATGCCCTTCCCTCCAGATGGCTGTCATAGGGCAGCAGGCCGGGAGCAGCAGCAACCTCACCGAGTTACAGGTGGTGAACCTGGACGCCGCGCACAGCACCAAGAGTGACTGACCTGCCCTGCCGCCCTGGACAGACGGCCCAGGGGATGGCACCACTTATTTATTGTTGCCTTTTCACGTTTTCTTCACACACATGTTGACGGGCCGCAGGAGGGAGGCGGGGAGGAGCAGTGGGCAGCCACCGGACTGAGCCCTCTCACTCCAGCCAAAGAAATGGGCCAGCCTACCCTCCACCCCGTCCTCCCTCACTCTCCCCTCCTCCTGGCTCCGCCTCCCATTTCTGTCGATGGTGGGGCTGCCCTCCCTCCTCAGACTTCCTTGCCAGCTTGGCTCCATGTTTGCCATGAGTATTAGCTTTCCAGTGGGACCGTGCCCCGCCTACCACAACAGATCTTTGTGGGACTAGGTACCATTCCCTCCCCCCACCTCGAGGAAGCAGTGGGGTCCTCTGTCCAGCCTCAGTGCTGACCCCATGTCAGTGCTGTGTCTGCCACAGGCAGGGAGCCAGCTGGGGAGATGGGGCTTCTTCCCTCGTGCTCCCCCCCTGCAGCCCCCCAGCTCCAAGGAGCTGGGCCTGTGCAGGGAGCAGGTCCCTGGGGCCGGCTGCCCTGCCTTGCCACTCCCTTGGGAGCTCCAGGGGCTCCTGGGTTGGAGGGAACCATCATTGTTCCTTCTCCCCGTCTTCCCCTCCCCCTCCTCCCAGCTGCTTTACTTAAAGTTGATTTTGAACTTTTTATTTGAGGAGACGAAGTGAAAACAAATCTATAAATATATATTTTTAAAATATTTAACTTTTTTTTATGGAGTTTTTCTCATCCCCCTCCCTGCCCAAGCTCCCCTTCCCTGGGGAGCCCTGGGGCTCCCCAGAACTGGCTGGGCCTCTGGGGACAGAGCCACCCCCTTAGCGTGGGGCCCACCAGTGTGTGTGGGAGATTCTGGGATTGCCCGGTCCTGGGTTATTTCCAGGAGAAAGCCGGGGGAGGGGCCCTCAGGCCATGCCACAATGGGATGGGGAGGGTGACCCACAGCTCTGGGCCTCTTTTTTGCCCTCTAGGGCTGTTGCTAGGGAGAGGGAAGAGGGAGACCAAATGGTGGGGTGTCAGGTAGAGGAAACTGACTTCATTTGTGCCACATGCATGGGCATTGCAGCCTTGTGCTCCCCAGGCCTGCAGCTGCTTGGGGTCCAAGTTGCAGTGAGCAGGGTGGGGTCTGGGAGGGGGTGAGAGGCAGGAAAGGGGGTCAGACAAATGGGAGCAGCTCTTGGGCTGAGTGCAGTGATAGGGGAACCAGAAGTGGGCAGCTCTCCCAGGGAGTGAGCAGCTACTGTAACTTTTTAAAATTAAGACAAAAAGCCTTGAAGAAAATGACTTTATTTTTCTAAGTGTAACCTCAGTATTTATGTAATTTGTACAGGGGCCGTGCCCCGTCCCCTCCCCCCTTTTGGGTAGACCTTCAGGGTGGGCCAACACGGGGAGGGTCTTTTACCCTGTGTCAGCCCATCTTCACCCCCAGTATCCAGAAAGGAAGCTTTTTCAGAACAGGGCAGCAGTTGGGGTGGAGTTTTATTAACCCTATGACTGCCTTCAGTAGGAACAAGCCTGCTTCTGTGATTAGGTGAAGGGGTGGGGGGAGATTTTACGCACAGCCTAGTTATCAAGGGGGTGATTTGCCAACATTTTTTGAGTACCCCCCTAACCTCTAACCCCCATTGCTGTCTTGCCCCAATTTCGGGTGCCAAGATAGAAGTCACCTTTCTGGGCTTTCTCCTGGAGAGAGCTGGGGCTTATGGGTGGCTTACAAGGCTGGGGCATGGCAAATCAGGGGCCAGAGAGTGGGGGGGCTTGGGACTCAGGTCTGTAACTGCCCAGCCCTTTTCTCTGCTCTTGTTTCACTCCACCCTCACTCACTCACTTTCCAACTCCCCCACCAGGAGAGGAGACCTTGATGAATTCCTCCTCTCCTTCCCACAAAAGACAGACCCAGTGAGTGAATCAGGCAAAGTGCTTAATAGTGTGTGTTGTGTGAGCATGGCCTGGGGAGAACATGCGTGCATCAGGGATAAGGTGGCATTTATATGTGCAGCAACCCTTGGTGTTTCCCTTCCTTGGTGGCTCTGGGGTGTGTGGGTGTGTGCGCGCGCGCTTGCGCTTGAGTGAATGTGTGTGTGAGTGTGAAGGTGTGTATGTCAGTGATTTCTACTTCCCTGGGATGCTGACCCAGGAATAGTGGACGTGGTCACAGTCCTATGTACAGAGCTTTCTTTTGTATTAAAAAAAAAATTACTCTTTCAATAAATGTATCATTTTTGTGCACAGACTGTGGGATCTTTGCCTCTGTTTTTCCATCTAGGGAGGGATGGAGGTCTGAACAGGAATTAAACCCCAAAAGCTGCTGCTCTTGAGAAGGAAGCCTAGTTGCTTGATGAAAACAACAGCAATACTAAGGAGCGCTTTGCGCTGTTAAACTCTGAACGATTTAAGAAACATTTCGCTGGGCTGGGGATCTTATCTACGTGCAGGGCTTTGCTGGGTGCTTAGGTCAACACAGAGATAAGCAATTTTAATTAACAGGAACTGACTACCAATACACAGCATTTCCACGTGACCTAATCAAACCTCAAAGGACAGCCCTAGGTGGGAGTGTGGGTTACAGGTTTCAGGGGGATGAGGAAGGGAGGGAGGTCTCTCCAAAGTTGCTAGTGGAAGGAAAGCGCTGCCTACTGCTGCAAAGGCAAGGGACAACGTGACTGCGGCCGCGGGTTCCGTCCGCGGCGCCGGTGCGGCAGCTCGCAGACCGCGCATGCTCCGCCGTGGGCTGCTGGGGGACCCGTAGGCGCCGCGGGCGTGCGCTCGCCGTGTGACCCGGAAGCGAGCCGCTGAGGGGGCGGGGCCAGGACGGCGGGACCGGCCTCGGGGTTCCAGCGAGGGCCGAGCCGGGCGGTGGGAGGTGAGAGGAGAGTTCCGCGTGGACCCAGTCCTTGCCCTCGCCCTCCCCGGCCCCTCGCCCAGTTTTCTTGGGGCGACGGCGGGAGCCAGGTCCTGCTTCCTGCGAGTCGCCCGGTCTCGTCAGCCTCCCCGGACCGCGTGTTTCCCCCTTCCCCCGCTCACCCCACCCCCAAACCTGTTCCCACCGCCGCCCTGGCCTGCGCCGCCCTGCCTGCCTTTCTGCAAGCTGGGGCCTGACCTTGCTGCCTGCACCCACCGGCTGCCTCTGCCTCGCGTCCAGACCTCACCTTCATTCCTCCGTGTACTGCTCCGTGTAGTCACCCCTCCCCCAAACGTGGGCCTCTCCATTCCTTTACTTCTCTTCTCCACCCTGCTCATCAGTTGTCGGTCACCACGTCACCGGTTTCCTTCCAGTCTTGTCCTGCCCCATGGTAACTAGACCCCCTGCTTCCATGGGGGACCACACCCTGCATTTCCCCTCTCTTCACACCTTTTTTTTTTTTTTACTCTCATCTCCTATTCTTGTACCCCAACATGACCCCTATCCTGATTACCATTTCTTCAGCTGGGTTTACCTTCCATTCTTATCCTCGCCATTCCCTGCTGCCCCACACTCTTTTTATTTCATACCTGTCTTTTTTGGGTTATTAGCATGGCCATCACCCCGCGCCCCTTTATAACCTGACTTCGTAGTGTCCCATCCGAGGACTGGCCTACCTTCCCCATCTGAGAGCAGGGCTGTTAGGTCATGTGTACAGAGCATTCACTGTGTGCGGAGAGGCTGTTTGTTCTCTGTGCTTTACATGGCTGATCTTCCGTGGTCATGAGTTCAGTGTGAACATCGCTCCCATCTTGCGGAGGAGGAAACTGAGGCTCAGAGGTTAAGTAACTTGCCCAAAACTACACACCTAGGAAGTCAGTGAGCCAGCATTCAGAGTCACCTTTATCTGACTCTGAAATCTGCCCTGCATTTCCTCTCTCATACCTCCACCATCTCCTGACCTCATCCCCAACCCTTCAACTCCATGATTACCACCTCCCTCCATAGCTGCCTGATTTAGACCCTCACCACACGTGTAGAACAAATGGAGGATGGGGTCTGGTCTTTACCTCCCCTTATTTTACCTGGTTCCCTGGACCCCTCCTCCTTTGACAATACTTTCTTATTTATTTATTTATTTATTATTTTATTTTTATTTTTTTTCCTTTTACATTTTTTATTAAATTATTATCTGTGTACATATTTTAACATTGCCCCCCCCCCCCACCTTCCCATACATACCCTCCCTCCCCAGAGTTTTGTGCTTTGACAATACTTTCATCCACTTTTCCCATCCAGCCATCTGGATGTGGGTGTCTCCAGCCCACCCTCCTTTCATTAATAAACTTTATATCTCTCCTCTATATCCACATTCCTGCTTTACCCTGTCATTTATACCCCTCCCCCACCCTGCCTTTCCTCACTTGTTCTGACCCCACCGTCTCCCATGCTGCTGTCCTTCTTGCTCATACTTCTTGGTCATCCTTCTGAGTCCTGATCTGTATTGTCCTGCTTAACGATCAACTTTTTGTTACCTTGCCTTTTCTTATAACTGCTTCCATTTCTTAAACCTCTTTGTTTTATTCTTAGCTGTTTTCCCTCCATTCTTACATGTATCCCAGAGTATGTTCAAGTTACTTATTTCATGCTATTCTTGGCCTTTCTACTGGGCCCCTAAATTCCATCATGCAACCCTACCCATCACTACCCACCCTATCTGTCTCAAGATTCTACCCCCTCCATGTAGTCTTTCCCCTTATTCCATATTACCTTTATCTTTCTGCTTGTGTGTCCTCATTACCTTTATCTTTCTGCTTGTGTGTCCCAGGAGGTCAGGATGGTGGGGGAACGGCGCACTGGGGACCTCATGGTGCCTCTGGGGCCCCGGCTGCAGGCATATCCTGAAGAACTTATCCGTCAGCGTCCTGGGCACGATGGACGTCCGGAATACCTGATCCGATGGAGCGTCCTGAAGTGTGGGGAAGCGGGGAGAGTGGGTGTGGAAGAGGGCAAGGCAGAGCACATCCTCATGTGGCTGTCAGCCCCCGAGGTCTATGCCAATTGCCC